AGTATGGATTGCTTAATCATACTAAATATTCTAATCTGTGGACACAGTATCTTTTCATCTATCTGTGCCTTATTCAAGTTCTTTCCTTGATATTTTATAGTGTCAGATGCACAGGTCTTTCGCCTCTCAGATTAAAGTAATTTCTAAATATTTTTATGTTCTTCAAAGGGATTCTTTTTTGATAATTCATTGTTAGTGTATAGAATCCTGAATGATGTTTCTATGCTGGAACTTTACTGGATTTATTTTTTGATGACTTAAGGCTTATTTATGATCCAGTCATCTATAGGCAGACAATTTCACTTTGGATTCCTTTTCTATGTTTGTTTTAACTAAGAATGGACCTCCATAGGCTCATGTTTGAATGTGATTTACCAGGGAGTGGCACTCTTTGTAAAGATTAGAAGATGTGGCCTAGGAATGGGCTTTGAGGCTTCAAAAGCCCAAACAAGAACCAGTGTCTTTCTCTTCCTGCTGCCTGGGGACCTGAGTATAGAACTCTGTTACCATGCTCCCCATGATGATAATGGGCTGAACTGCTGAAACTGTAAGCAAGTCCCAATTAAACACTTTCTTTTATAATAGTTGCCATGGTCATGGTGTCTCTTCACTGCAACGAACAATTACTAAGGCCCTTTCTTTTCTTTGTCTAAGATCACTAAGTAGGACCAGCAGTTCTGTGTTGAGTAGTGTGGTAAGTGTGAGCATTTATATCTTATTCTTTATCTTAGAATCCTAGATTTTAGAGAGATACATAAAATCATACACACACACACACACACACACAACATGAAAGTAAAAATGAACTTGAATGAATACAAAAGATGGGAGAACATTGGAGTAAGAGGAGAGTAAGACTGAACATGGACAAACTACATATTACACTAATAAAAATATCTTTATGGAATCCATCATTATCTATCTTGAATATACACAAAAATTCATGTATAAAACAATTTTTAAAATTTAACGTTGATATGCAACTCTTGAAAAGTATGGGCCATATCTCACAGGCTATCACCATGAATTTGCTTATACCATTCTATGTGATCTACCTCAGCTAACAGAGATTTCCACCAATACTTAATGAGAAATATTTCTCAAAGAAACAAAATAATGCATCAGAGATTCCTAGACTGTTATTCCGTCATTATTTTAAAAATTTGGAAACAGTGCACCTTAACTATAGCAAATATCACTTATTTGTTCTCTTGAAAAGCTTTATAAGAAGTAATCAGTTCAGAAGTAATGGACATTGGTATCTGTGACATCAAAAGATTAAACTGCCAAGTGAGATGTGCATTTTATGAGCTATCTAAAGCTGTGTCACTTATTTCAGCGCTGCTACTTCACTATTTACTACACAGCATTTACATAGATATAGGACTTGCAAAGGTGCAGTGTAGACATTTGAGATTCAAAACGAGGATTTGTACTCAACTGTGTTGTTTTTCAGATGACTTGTAATAATAGTTCTCTCCATTTTAACAGTTACAAGAATTGTTCTAGATTGCTACATGCAAGTGTGACCCTGTATGTCTTATCATTTCCTGCAGATGATTAGGATCTTGACACACTATTAGATCTTATTCATTTATATAAAAATATTTCATTAGTTCTGAGACCTAATATAAATTCTACATAATTCACTATTATAATAGTAATACTTTCTCAAGATATAGACTTGCTGTTAGAAGCATTTATACAAAACTGGCTTAGAAAACAAAAACATCTGTTTTATTAAGGTAAGCATTTACATTATTTTCTGTTTAATTTATCAGGCTTTCTAGCTACTTAAGAAACTGTCTCATTACAGAATCAAGAATAATTTTTAAAAATATATTTATTTTGTTAATCTTTAAGTGTTATACTAAAACCATTATTCTAAATACTATGCCAACTATTATACTCAAAAGAGCATGTGTGCACAGAGTGTACAGAGAAAAGTAACAAATTTCTACAGTTTCTAACCACTCTGGTGGATTCTTAATCAGCAGTCATAAAAATCCCAGAGTCCCAGTCAGTATAGTAGCTTTTCTAAAATTTATTATTCATCCTATTCAAAATGTTACCAGATCTTGTATTATAAAGACACCCTAACATTTTCACTAAAAACATGGTCACTTTAGCTCCCCCCACCAACAAGCTGTACAAGCTCTAACTGCCACCATCAAACCCCATCTAATCTTGTATTAACTCTTAATTGATCGAGATGGGAGTCTGTGCTGTTATTAACACATGTTGTTTCCCTAGTCAACAGTTCAAGAATGCTATAGATTAACTTTCAGATCATTATACTTCAGTCTAACCTCCCTAGATCTCTTCAAAGTGATAGTTGTCATTCTTCTATTTCTATTACAGATTGCTTACAGGGTAGCTAAGCTTCTGGGACTTAGTTATTATCTTCATTTTGCTTATAGACTTAAGTCCTCTGGACAGGCAACTATGTTAACCAGACCCTTAGTCCATCCATTAAAAAACTTTGAAAGCTGCTGGTGGTGGCACACACGTTTAATCCCAGCACTCAGGAGGCAGAGGCAGGCAGATCTCTGTGAGTTTGAGGCCAGTGTGATCTACAAAGCTACACAGAAAAACCCTGTCTCGAAAACCATAAAAAAAGCTTTGCCAAGAGACTCATTATTTACCTGGAGGAAAATACTACTAATAACCCTAGTTAGAATCCATGTAAACCCTCATTCAGCTCCTGGTCCCAGTACTTTTGAAGTACCTTATAGATATCCTTTTATATATTTGGGTTTGTTTAGAGATGACAAAGTTTTTTTTAACTTACCATCCACTTTTTAAAAACATTTATTTTTATTTCATGTGCATTGGTGTTTTGCCTGCATCTACGTCTGTGTGAGGGTGTTGGATCCTCTGGAACTGCAGTTACAGACAGTTGTGAGCTGCCATGTGGGTGATCGCAATTGAAACCAGTTCCTTTGGAAGAGCAGCCAGTGATCTTAACCACTGAGTCATCTCTTCAGCCCCAAAGTTTGTTTTTTTAAGTCAGAAATATGAGACAAGTCATATCTTTGTCTCTGGGAGGACACATGCGTCCTAAAGTACCCACAACATAATAGGTAACAATCTAAGCCTAGCTTCTAAAAGTCCAAATCCTTTAAGGTTATTATTTAGAAGTATCTTTTATGATATAAAAATAAGGACATGGGTTGTGTAGCAATTTCCTTCAAGGTAAAATATTCCATCTTGGAGGGAAGTTCATTAAGAGTGTGAATGTTCTAAGGGGGCATGAAGCATTATATTGTTCTAGGAAGCTAGTTAAGACCAAAAAAGTAAACAACTCAAAAATCTTGGAAAGTCCCTGAAACTGAATAGATGCACTAGGTTCCCACATCCCCAAACATGTATAAGCAGTAAGGACTGCAGGAATACACAATCAGACTAGCTGAACTTCCTGGAAATGGTAATCTACAAACTGTGGAGATACCTACAAGTTGTGCAGTGTATTTCAGATTCACAGCTTTAGTGAGCTGTCATCCATGGGTAGGCTTTTGGTAATGCAGCAGCCTTTGTGTCATTTCTGTTCCTGTAAGTAACCCTGATACAATTCATTGGTTCACCACATTGGACTTTGTTGGTATCCTTGGTCTGTTGTTGGTTCCTTATGTGGCATAAGTGGGTGTTTGTTCAAATTTCTCCAGGAACAGTGTCATACAACAACATACCAATGGTCCCTCCTGTAAGAGTTAATGCAAATGAGCCTGTCAATAACTTGGAAAAGATAAAGTTCCTTAGGAAAATCTGTTTGTTTTACACACTACAGAAATAGTATAAAGCCTGCCTAAAGAATATATTGTAACAATCTTTGGCCATTGTCCACTCTTACTTGTTGAGACTCCATTCTTTTCTGTAATGTCCCCTTTGGTCATTGGCCATCCTTACCTCTTGATACTGGACTCTGCTCTACAATGGCCCCTTTGGCAACTGTCTACTTTCACACTTTTTTTGATTTTTCGAGACAGAGTTTCTCTGTATTGTTTTGGAGGCTGTCCTGGAACTCGCTCTGTAGACCAGGCTGGCCTCGAACACACAGAGATCTGCCTGCCTCTGCCTACCAAGTGCTGGGATTAAAGGCCTGCACCACCAACACCCAGCTCCTACTTTCACACTTTTGAGAATGTCCTCTGCTCTGCAATGGTCCCTTTAACCATCTACTCTAATCCTTTGAGAGGTATTTCTACATTATAATGAACTGCACATCTTCTACACTGTGATCTGAATTCTTTCAACGGAGATCACAAGGACCAAGTTGCTAAGGGACATCCAGAGAGAGATACTGGTGACATTGTTGAAATTTAGTTTTGTAGTTTTAGGGAACATAATTTACAGGATTTTGATTTTTAACTTATTTATTGTTTTGTGTTCTAACCTATGCAGTTGAGGAAAATGTATATCCTGGTAGTGGTGTGTGGTATATGCTCTACATGCTTGCTTGAAGTATGGAAATGCTCACATCTTAAATTTCCTTATGTATCTTTAGTTCTATGAATTAAAAATGTACCAAAGTCTATTATTATCATTGTAGACTTATCTTTTGTGCCCTTTCATTTTTTTGCTTAATATATTTGTTACTCTGCTTTTTGTTGTATGTATATGTTTGTAGTTGCTATATATTTTTGAAGAACTGCACTTTTATCAATCTGTAATATTTTTATCACTTTTAAACATTTGACATAAGTTTACTTTTTCTTAAACCTCAATTTAGCTACTATTTACATGGAATATGCTTTTCCATTTGTTCACTTTTAATCTATTTCACCTTTGTATCTAAAGTGAGATTCTTATTTTTTCCCACCAAAATGGAAACTATGTGGAGTGATTCAAATGTTACTTAGCTTGGTTACATTATTTCACAATGTATGCATGTATCAAAACATTGCATTAAGGTCTGACTGTGACTTGGTGGCAGGCTAATTGCTTAACATTGGTGAAGCCCTGGGTTTCAACCCTAGTGTTATGAAAAAATTGAACACTACTAAATATATTAAACTTTTATTTGTCAATTATATCTCAATACAGGACATGTGTATGGTATAGCTGTTTTCTACAAGTACATCATGACCATAACCATCATGAAACTAGGGTGGTTTTATGACCTATAGAATACCTTAATTCCACAGTAATTTTCCAGTACTAAAATAAGCAAAACAACACGTTAGTAGCTAGGTTAATAACTGTTATAATTGGATTATTAACATTAACTCTTAGAAGGAAGGTCACCACACCTTAACCTCTCGTCTATATGTGGTCTTGGGAAGTTACAGAGAATATAGGAAGCAGAAGGATGACTAGAGGCAAAACTCCAGTTATGCAGCATCTGTGAGTGGTCACACATGCTGGAGTTGATTATTCTGTGAATCAGCTGCCAAAATCACCCATGCAGTGGTCACTCATGTTTGGATTGGACTTTTTTGATGACGCAGCTGCCCAATCCCCCGTGTTCCCATAAGTAACTCCAATAAACCCACTGATGCACCAAGCTAAACTTAGGTAGATTTAGGTTTTTAGTTTGTATTTAATGCTCTATGTGGAATGAATAGTCATTTCTTTATACCTCCCCCACAGGAAAAGTCATACAACAATGTAGTTTGAATTTTAATTCATTTTTCCAATCACTTCCATTTTAGGGCCAGTGACAAATTTAATGTGTCTATAAAACATCTTTATCACTTTAAAATGTATAACAGTAATGTTAACTATATTCACATTATATTAAAATGGATCTATAGAATTTCTTCATGTTGCAAAAGTAAATATATAAAAACAAGTAAAAGTAATGAGAACAGTGAGGATGAGGAGAATGAAAAAAACAAAAGTCCTTTTCTCCATCACCATTAATGCAGTGGTTTGAAAAAGAATGGCCCCCATAGGCTCATATATTTGAATGCTTGGTCGTTAGGGAGTAACACTACTTGAGAGAGATTTTGAGTTATGGCCTTGTTGGAGTAAGTGTGGCCTTGTTGGAGGAAGCATGTCACTGAGGGGTGGGCTTTAGGTTTTCAATGGCCCAAGCCAGGCAGTGTCTCTGTCTCTCTTCCTTCCGCCTTTGGATCTAGATGTAGAATTCTCAGCATCTCTTCAGCACCATATCTGCCTTCATACTGCCAGGCCAAACACTTCTTGGCATATTCCCTATCATTATGATAATGGACTAAACCTCTGAAACTGCAAGCCAGCCCTAGTTAAATGGTTTTCTTTATAAGAGTTGCCATGGTCGCGGTGTCTCTTCAGATCAATAGAACACTGTCTAAGACAATGACCCTGGTAATCACCATTAATACTTTTCTATGATTTGACTACTTTGGACATTCATCTTAGTGAAATAATGTTGTCTGTACCTTTTGTGGTTGACTTATTTCCTTTACCACAGTATCTGCAAAGTTTATTCATATTGTAGCATCTACAAGTTGGCCCTCTTTTTGAAAGTATAAATAAGATTCTACTGCATATTTTTGCCACATTTATCTATTCTTCCACTGATAGATGCTTGAGTTATTTCTACCTTCATACTGTTGTGAAGAAAAGCTTTGACTAAAGATATGCAGATTTCTCTTGAATAACCTGTTTTCAATCTTCCTGAGTGAATATCCACAAATAGAATTGCTAGATTATATAACTTTAAGAAATATTTCAAGGAATCACCATAATTTTTTCAGTGACTACATCATTTTGTATTCTAACAAGTACTGAATGTGTTACATCTAAGAGATTTTGGTTGTGGTATTAAGAGTCTTTTAAAGTAGAAGGTCATGTCATTTTGCAAATAAGGATAATTTGATTTGACTTCTTTTCCTATTTATATCCCCCTTTTCTCTCTCTTGTCTTACTGCTCTAAGGCTTCAAACACTGTGTTCTATGAAAGTGGTTAAGAGTAGGCACCCTTGTCTTGTTCCAGATTTTAGAAGTGCTCTTGGTTTGTCCCCATTTAATATAATGTTAGCTATGGATTTGTCATATGTAGCCTTTTTATGTTGAAATATGTCCCTTCAATTACTAAATTCTTCATGACATTTTATCATGAGCATATGTTGAACTTTGAAAATGACTTTCCTCTATCTATAGAAATTCTCATGTGATCCTGTACTTACGTCTATTAATATAGTGCATTATATTTACTGATTTGTGTGCTTTAAGCCAAACTTGCATCCTTGGTATAAAACCAATTTGGTGGTGGTATTTTGTTCTTAGTGTGTTAATGAATTTTGTTTACAAGTATTTTGAAAATTCTTATATCTGTTCACCAGGGAAATGTGGTATCATGATAATACCAGCATCACAGAATAAGTTTAATGGTGTCGCCTCCATTTCTTCTTTATGAAAATGTTTAAAAAGTTTTGATGCTAGACTTATTAAAGATTTTTTTAGAATTCAGTAGTGAATTCGTCCATGTGGGACTTCAATATCATTGCTTATTTTGTATCTCTTGAAGTTATTCATATCTGCTTGAATTCATGTTGACAGGTTATGTGGGTTTAGGACTATATCCATTTTTAAAAAATTTTCTAGCATTTTGGTTTTTTGACAGTGCAAGGAATCAAATCCAGGGCCTTGAATATGCCAGAGACGCACTCTGCCACTGAGCTACATCTCCAGCCCCAGCTTTCTAGCTTTTTAGAATATAAGGTTTCTATGTATTCCCTAATGTCCCTCTGGATTTTATTAGAGTCTGCTGCAATAGCTCCTTTTGCACGTCTACATTTTCTTTCTTGGATATTATCTATTTTTCATTAGATTGCTAATCTTTCACTTGTCAAATAACTAACTTTCTGTTTGATTGACTCTGTGCATTATTAGTCTCTGCTTCTTGACATTCATATGACCTGAGTTTGACTTCTTTTTCTAGAACCTTGAGGTATACAATTAGGTTATTTATTTGTAATCTCATTGAATTTTTAATGTAAGCACTTGTAGCTATAAACCCTCCTCTTGTGTCTTTTTGTATCCCATAAGTTTTGATAGGTTGTATCATAATTTTCATTTGTTTACAGGATTTAAAAAACTTTCCTTGATTTCCTCAATGCCCCTCTGTTCATTTAAAAATGTAACTGCTCAGTATTAAATATTTGTGTTGCTTCTTTTATTCTTCTATTATCTGATAAAATGTAAGGAATTTGATTCTTTGGTTTGCGTCCTATAATGTAAATGGTTTTAGAGAAAGCCCCATGTGCTGTTGAGAATAATGTGCATTCTCTATTAGCTGAATGGAATACGTTGTATTTGTTAAATGCAATTGCTTGAGACAGCTGATCTGACCTTGTGGAATCTCACAGACTGGATAGACAGCTAGGGAGGTGGCATGGGAATGGCCTATGCCTCTGCATCTGGGTGACAGTTGTGTAGCTTGATCTCTTTTGGGTCCCTAGCAGATGCCTTGTTCAGCCTTGATGCAGCAGGGAGGAGCTTAGTCCTGCTTCAGCTTAATATGCCATGCTTTGTTGATTCCCATGGGAAGCCTTACCCCATCTGAGTGGAGACTGAAGAGGAGTGGATGGGAAAGGGGTAGGGGGATGTGGGGCGAGAGAGCAGAAGAGGAGGGAGTGGAAATGTGGTTGATAAATAATGAAAAAATGCTCTATGGTGTTATTTACTTAAGCTGTTTGTTGATTTTTAGTTTGAAATATGTGTCTAAAGATGAGAGTATTGAAATCTCCCACTTGATTGTACAGTGCATAAATGTTAATAATATTGTAATCTTCTTGATAAATTGTGCCATTTATTAATGGGTAGTGATCTTCAGATTTTCAAACCACATTTCTACTACTCACAGCCTGTTCTACATATGTAATTTTTATCCATCTGGTTGTGTTTACATAGCCCAGGCCTTCTCTTCTGGGCTTTCATGGTGTGAGAACACAAGGCTGGCAGCTACAGCTGATGTCAGTCAGTGGGAGGAATACCACAACTGATTTCTGGTGGACCTGGCTCCTTCATAGTAGAGAAATTCAAACTTTGCCTTTTTATGCTTTTTAGTCTTTAATGTATATAAATAGCATTTATTATGTTTTTATCATAAAATTTTTATCTGCTGGCTCAGAAGTAGCTTTTAATTTACCATCTGATTTGTGAATTCTAATCCTTCAATCTTACATAATTTAATGAAAAAATAAACAATGCACCATGAGTAAACTACAAATAACAATATCAGTCTAAAATGCCACAAATATTATCTCATCACATGTATACATATAAGTATCTCACCCATTCCAAAAGTTCACTCAAGAATGTGTATTATTCAGAATGAATATTTTTGTAGCTTAAATAATAAAAAACCATCAATATAATACAGTAAAGGCAAGATCCCTTAACATTTAACAATACAGTCGTTTTCCTCAGCAAGCTCACTAGAAAGTCTATGGATTTCTTTCCTGGTGTTTGGTTGGTTTTTTATTTGAGATGGGGTCATACTGTGTTGTTTAGGATAGTAAATTTGGTTATTTGACTCAAGTAATTCTCTCATCTCAGCCACCCAAGTAGCATGGACTGCAAGCACAGCCAAACTAACATTTGTGGAAATATGAAGGAGTGAGTCTTGATAGCCAGATGATCTTGGGACTTGAGCTTGTGACAAGTTCCTAGGCAGGTTGTTGAAATGTGGTGGCATGTTGACTGGCTGTTCCTCTTGATAGAGCTAATGGATGGCATTTCTGGTTAAAAACACCTGACAGAAACAAACAAGTGTTATGAGATGGCAATAGTAAGCTATGAATAATTTTTGCACTCCAGTTGAGGAAATATCCTCCCACATACTATAGGATAAGCAGTACCACTCCTCTAAACAAACACCTCCTTCAGTAGTCAAGTTTCTAGGAATACCAGCTTTTCAGACATACACTTTACATGTTTCAGTTTTTAATAGCTCTTTGAGACATTTTGAAATATTTTTATTTAAATTAGAAATAATCTTATTTTACATATCACCCAGTTTCCTCTCCCTCCCATCCTCCTATGCCCCCCACTGACACCCCCTTCATCCCACCCTCACCCACTCCCCAAGGAGAGTGATACCTTCCATAGGGGATAATCAAAGTGTATCGTATCATCTGGGGCAGGGACTAGTCTCTCCCTGTGTATCTAGGCTGAGAGAGTATTCCTCCATAGGGAATATGCTCCCAAAGTCCATTCCTGCACTAGTGATAAATACTGGTTCCACCACAAGAGGTCCCATAGACTGCCCAGGCCTCCTAAATGTCACCGACCTGGTTCAGTCTTATGCTGATTCCCCCAGCTGTTTGGCTGGGATCCATGAACTCCCACTTTCTCAGGTCACCTGTTTCTGTGAGTTTCCCCAGCATGTTACTGACCCCTTTGTTCATCATTCTTCCCTCTCTACAACTGGATTCCAGGAGTTCAACTCAGTGCTTAGCTGTGAATCTCTGCTTCTGCTTCCATCAGCTACTGAATGAAGGTTCTAGGATGGCATTTAAGATGGTTATCAGTCTCATTACAGGAGAAGGACACATTAGGTAGCCTCTCAACTATTGCTTAGATTCTTAGACAGGGTCATCCTTGTGGATCTCTGTACATTTCCCTAGTGCCAGATTTCTCTTTAAACCTATAATGTGACTCCTTCTATTAAGGTATCTCTTCTCTTGCTGTCTCCTATTCATCCCCCCAACTCAACCTTTCTGATCCCTCATGTTCTCCTCCCCTTCTCTTTCTCCTACAACCCTCTCCCATGCTTCCAATTTGTTCAGGAGCTCTTGTCACTTTCCCATTCTCCAGGGGACCATGTATGTCTCTCTTAGGGTCCTTCTTGTTTCATAGCTTCTCTGGGGGTGTGGATTGTAGACCGATAATCCTTTGCTCTATGTCTAATATCCATATATGAGCTAGTACATACAATGTTTGTCTTTTTGTGAATGGGTTACCTCACTCAGGATGATTTCTTCTAGTTCCATCCATTTGACTACGAATTTCAATATTCCTACTGAATAGTACTCCATTGCGTAAATGTGCCATATTTTCATTATCCATTCTTTGGTTCAAGGGCATCTAAGTTGCTTCCAGGTTCTGGTTATTACAAACAATGCTGCTATGAACATAGTTGAACAGATGTCCTTGTTGTATGAATGTGCATCCTTTGGGTATATGCCTAAGAGTGGGATTGCTGGATCATGAGGTACACTGATTCCCATTTTTTCTGAGAAACTACCATACTGGTTTCCATAGTAACTGTACAAGTTTGCACATCCACCAGCAGTGGAGGAGTGTTCCTGTTTCTCTACATCCTCTTCAGCATGAGCTGTCATTGGTGTTTTTGATTTTAGCTGTTCTGACAGGAGCAAGATGGTATCTCAGGGTTGTTTTGATTTGCATTTTCCTGATGGCTAAGGATGTTGATCACTTTCTTAAATGTCTTTCAGTCATTTTAGATTCCTCTATTGAGAATTCTCTAGTTCTTTAGTGTTTTGGTGAATATCTTCTTGAGTTCTTTGTATATTTTGGAGCTCAGCCCTCTGTCAGATGTGGTGTTGGTGAAAACCTTTTCTATTCTGTGAACTGCTGTTTTGTCTTGTCGACTTTGTCCTTTGCCTTCCAGAAGCTTCTTAGTTTCAGGAGGTCCCATTTATTAATTGTCAATCTCAGTGTCTGTACTACTGACATTATGTTCAGGAAGTGGTCTCCTGTATCAATTCATTAAAGGGTACCTCCCATTTTATCTTCTAAGAGGTTGGTTCAGTGTGGCTGGATTTATGTTGAGATCTTTTATCCATTTTGACTTAAGTTTTGTCCATGGCAATAGATATGGATCTATCTACAATCTTCTCTACACCAGCAACCAGTTATACCAGCACCATTTGTTGAAGATGCTTTCTTTTTTCCATTGTATAATTTTAGCTTCTTTGTCAAAATCAGGTGTTCGTAAGTGTGTGGATTAATATCAGGGCTTTCAATTTGATTCCACTGGTCTACCTATCTGTTTTTGTGCCAATACCAGGCTGTTTTCAGGACTATCGCTCCATAGTAGAGCTTGAAGTCCAGGATGGTGATGCCTACAGAAGTTCCTTTATTGCACAGGGTCGTTTTGGCTATCCTGGGTTTTTTGTTTTTCCATATAAAGTTGAGTGTTATTCTTTCAAGGTCTCTAATGAATTGTGCTGGGATTTTGATGGGGATTAATTGAATCTGTAGATTGCTTTTGGCAAGATTGTCATTTTTACTATGATGATCCTACCTATCCCAGAGCATGGGAGATCTTTCCATTTTCTGGTATCTTCTTAAATTTCTTTCTTTAAAGACTCAAAGTTCTTGTCCTATAAGTCTTTTACTTTTTTTGTTAGAATTACTCCAAGATATTTAATGTTGTTTGTGGCTATTGTAAAGGGTTATATTTCTCTGATTTCTTTCTCAGCCCATTTATCATCTTTATATAGGAGGGCTACTGATTTTTTTGAGTTACTCTTGTATCCTGCCACTTTGCTGAAGGTGTTTATTAGATGTAGGAGTTGCCTGGTAGAGTTTTTCAGGTCATTTATGTAAACTATCATATCATCTGCAAATAGTGAAAATTTGACTTCTTCCTTTCCAATTTGTATTCCCTTGATCTCCCTGTGTTGTCTTATTGCTCTAACTATAACTTCAAGTACAGCATTGAAGAGATAAGGAGAGAATGGGCAACCTTGTCTTGTTCATGATTTTAGAGGAATTGTGTTTTCTCTCCATTTAGTTTGATGTTGGCTGTTGGCTTGCTTTATATTGCTTTTATTATGTCTAGGTATGTTCCTGTTATCCCTGATCCCCCCAAGACGTTTATCATGAAGGGGTATTGGATTTTGTCAAAGACTTTTTCAGTATCTAGTGAGGTGATTGTGCAGTGTTTCTTTTTCAATTTGTTTATATGGTGGATTACACTGATGAATTTTCATATGTTGAACCATCCCTGCATCCCTGGTATGAAGCCTACTTGATCATGGTGGGTGATGTTTCTGATGTGTACTTGGATTTTATTTGCTAGTATTTTAGCATTGATATTCAAGAGGATATTAGTCTGTAGTTCTCTTTCTTAATTGTGTCTTTGTGTGGCTTGGGTACCAAGGTAATTGTAGCCTAATAAACAGAGTTTGGCAATGACCCTTCTGCTTCTATTGAATGGAACAATTTGAGACATGTTGGTATTAGGTCTTACTTGAATTTCTGGTAGAATTCTGCACTGAAACCATCAGGCCATGTTTTTTTGTTTTTTGTTTTTTGTTTTTGGTTGGAAGGCTTTTGATGACTGCTTCTGTTTCATTAGGGCTTATAGGTCTGTTTAAAGTGCTTATCTGTTCTTGATTTAATTTTGGTAGGTGATATCTATCCAGAAAATTGTCCATTTCCCATATATTTTTGAATTTTGTAGAGTACAGGTTTTCAAAGTATGACCTGATGATTCTCTGGATTTTCTCAGTGTCCATTGTTATGTCTACCTTTTCATTTCTGATTTTGTTAATTTGCATGTTTTCTTTTGTTCTGTTTGTGCCTTTTGGTTAGTTTGGATAATGGTTTGTTTATCTTGTTGATTTTCTCAAAGAAACTTTGTTTCTAGTTTTTTTTTTATTTCAACACTCAGTTTGATTATTTCATGGCATCTCCTTCTCCTGGGTGAGTTTGCTTTTTTTTTTGCTCTAGAGCTTTCAGGTGTGCTGTTAATTCTCTAGTGTGACTATTCTCCAGTTTCTTCATGTGGGCACTTAGTGCTATGAACTTTCGTCTTAACATTGCTTTCAAAGTGTCCAATAAGTTTTGGTATGTTGTGCCTTCATTTTAATTGAATTCTAGGAAGTCTTTAATTTCTTTCTTTCTTTATTCTTTGACCCAGGAGTGATGCAATTGAGCATTGTTCAATTTCCATGAGTTTTTAGGTTTTCTGCAATTTGTGTTGTTGTTGAATTCTAACTTTAAAGCATGGTGATCCGATAAATTACAGGGGGCTATTCCAATTATTTGTATCTGTTGAGGTTTGCTTTGTTGCTGAGTATGTGGTCGATTTTAGAGAAGGTTCCATATTGCACTGAGAAGAAGGTATATTATTTTGTGTTTGGATGGGATGTCCTATAGATGTCTGTTAAACCCAATTGGGTCATAACTTTTGTTAGTTCTTTTGTTTCTTTGTTAAGTTTCTGTCTTGTAGTCCTGTCCAGTGGTGACAGTGGGGTGTTGAAGTCTCCTACTATATGGGTTTGGGGTTTTATGTGTGATTTGTAGTTTAGCAATGTTTCTTTGACAAATATGGGTGCCTTTGTATTTGGGGCATATATGTTCAGAACTGAGACTTCATCCTGATGGATTTTTCCTGCGATAAATATGAAATGATCTTCTTCATCTCTTTTGATTAATTTTAATTTTAAGTCTAATAAATCTAATTTGTTAGATAGTAAATTAGCTATACTATCTTGCTTCTTATGTCCATTTGATTGGAAAATCTTTTCCCAACCCTTTACTCTGAGGCACCATCTGTCTTAGAAGTTGAGGTGTGTGTTTCTGTTATGCAGCAGAAGGATGGATTCTATCTTTGTATCCATTATATTAGCCTTTGTCTTTTTATAGGTGAGTTAAGACCATTGATATTTGGGAATATTAATTACCATTGATTGTTGTTTTTTATCTGTTTTTGGTGGCAGTATTGTGTGTGGATTCCCCCCCCTTTTTTGGCTTTTGGTAATGTAGGATCATCTATTGGCTATGTTTTTGTGAGTGTAGTTAACTTCCTTAAGTTGGAGTTTTCCTTTCAGTACTTTCTGTAGGGCTGATTTGTGGATATGTATTGTTTAAATCTGGTTTTGTCATGGAATATCTTGTTTTCTCCATCTATAATGATTGAAAGCTTTGCTGGGTATAGTAGTCTGGGCTGGCATCCGTGGTCTCTTAGTGTTTGTAGAACATCTATCTAGGACCTTCTGGCTTTCAGAGTTTCCATGGAGAAGTCAGGTGTAATTCTGATAGCTTTGCCTTTGTATGTTACTTGACCTTTTTCCTTTGCTGACCTTAATATTCTTTCATTATTCTGTATGTTTGGTGTTTTCATTATTATGTGATGAGGGGACTTTTTTTTTGGTCCAGTCTATTTGGTGTTCAGAAAGCTTCTTGTACTTTCATAGGCATGTCCTTCTTTAGGTTGGAAAAGTTTTCTTCTATGATATTTGTTGAATATGTTTTTCTGGCCCTTTGAGCTGGGCTTTTTCACCACCTTCTATACCTATTCTTCTTAGGTTTGGCCTTTTTATGGTGTTGCATATTTATTGGATGTTTTCTGTTGAGGATTTGTTGGACTTTAGTTTATCTTCAGCACCTGAGATTTTTCTCTTCCATCTCTTGTATTCTGTTGGTTATGCTTGCATCTGTAATTCCTGATTGTTTCTCTAGATTTTCTATTTCCAGCATTCCTGCAGTTTGTGTTTACTGTCTCTATTTCAGTTTTCAGGTCTTGAACTGCTTGAATTGTTTCTTTCATCTGTTTGATTGTTTTTTCTTGGCTTTCCTTGCTTCCTTTAATAGATTTGTTGATTTCTTGCATTTTTTTGGTTTGTCTTTTCCTCCATTTCTTCCATTTTTTCTTACTTTTCTTTAAGGGATTTTCTCATTCCCTCATTGAGAGTCTCTATCATCTTCATAAGGTTGTTTTTTAGGTCATTCTCTTCTGCTTCATCTGTGTTGGGATGTTCAGGTCTTGCTGGTGTAGAATCCCTAGACTCTGTTGGTGTCATATTAATCTTTCTGTTGTTAATGTATTCTTATACTGTTGCCTTCCCATTGCTTCTTCCAGTGGGTACAGGTAAGTTCTCTCCCTCTTCTAATGGGTATGGGTCCAAGGCTCTCTCCCAGTGGGTGCAGGTGGGTCGAAGACTCTAATGATGGTAGATGCTAGATGGCTCAGTCTGCTTCTAGGTGTCTCTGGGGGATTCGGTGGTGGGACAGGATGGATCTGGGGGCCACAGGTCAGGGGACTCAAACAGGGAAAGGTGATCAGGAAAAGGCCCAGTACTCATCTCTTCCAGTGTGTGCTGGTCTAAGATAGGAATGGCGGCAGATGCTGGATGGCTCTTTCTGTCTCCAGGTCTCTCTGGGGGACTCAGTGGCCTCTTTGAGACTTTTTAAAAATCACATTTATCCCTCTTCCCCCAACTATTCCCACACCTACCCGCCCCCTTTCTATCCACCTAACTTTGTGTCTTTTTAAAAGAAACCCGCTGAGATCAGTTTGTGCTGCTCAAACAGTTTTGGATGTGAAATCGTCCACTGGAACATGGTCAACTCAGCAGGGGCTCCAGTCTGAAAAGAAAACTATCCCTCCCTTGCTTAGAAGCTAACAATTGCCAATAGTTCCAAGTGGTGATTAATACCCACATGTTTTGGACTGCATAGTATTTTTAGTACTTATAAAAATGCCAGTCCATAGAGTATCCCAGTTTTCTTTTCTGAGAGCTAGCTCTAGACATGCAGTAGGTCTATGAGAAGAAAATAGTGGAGAAGGTGGATTGATTCTAGCTATCTTTGACCTGGCAGTAAGCATGTATTACCACATTTAGATTAGTATTATTCCTTCTTTGTGCAGTATAACCAAGCATTTATGGTAGAAATTTTAGGCAAAAAGATGAACCAGACAATTTGGTAGAAGCCATGAAAGCTACTTACCTGTAATTAGGGTGTAGAGGTCTACATAAGGAGTGCCAAACACTAAGCCTGAAGAAAATCCAGATACAAATGTCCAAAGGTGTTCCTCAGTTGAGTATAAGAAGACATGATGTTGAGCCAAATGGAGTTCAGAAACCCAGGGATATTCCAAAAAAAGAAGAGCATGTATGAGTAAAAATAATAATATTAGTCATTTTAAAACAGGTTCTTATCATGCAACCCATAGTGGGCTGTAATCCTATTGCTTTGGTCTTTTTAGTGCTAGGATTTCAGAAGTATACCACCAAGCCCAGCACTCATGGTATTCATATGAAAAGAGTATTTCAACCACAAGTTACTTTTTACAAGTTACAAGCCTGAGTTTTCTTGGTATGTTTGGTCTGATGAAGGGGCTGAGTTGAGACAAACAGACAACCCCAGATCCTTTATCTTAGGCAGAAATTATCTTTGCCCGTAGAAAGCCTCACTGCACTCTAATGAGTTCCTGATGTTTTAGGGTGTGTTTCAGTGGTTGCTTCTTTGATCTATTCACCTTTTACAGAATAGTTCATGTATTGGCCATTGTCTTACCATAATTACAATATGTTCTCCGTGCTACACTTATAGCCTCTTTCTCAGGTTGGACTCAGTTGGGATACAGAGTAAAAAGCCAAAACATACAGCATGAAAATGGAATACATTCACATAAATAGGCATAGGTAGAAATGCAAAACTATACAGAAGAGAACAAAGTGGGCTTATCTACTTGACAGTTGTTGCCTAGAACTGTGTACTAATTAGCATATTCTTTTTTTAACTTTTCCAAGGTCACACACTTTATTCATAGATAGATTTGGGCTTTAACTATGTATCTCTGCCTTCCATAGCTGACTCCCTTTCATCAACTCTAAACATTTTTTTCACACAAAGAAGCAGAGGTAGACATAGAGTACATAGTAGAAATCAAAAGCACAAACTATCTTCTATACCCTGTGTACCTCACCACAGTATTCCTATACAGGGCTTAGGCACAGTGAAGTCTCAATAGTGCTTATTCCTTGTCTTCATCACATGCAGATAAAATACTGGCATGATGGACAATCTCCTCTATCAGGTGATCACTCTTTGGCTTATCTTAATTTTGAAACATACATATTGCTAAGTTCATATTACTTAAGTTTTTCTGAAAGTAGATGGGGGCACTTCTTAATACCTCAAGCTATACACGTAGATTTGTCACTGTACTGGAGATTTATTTAGTCTTGAACTAGCCTCAGTATTTAATTATCACCTAAGCTAGGGATGGAGAGATTAACATATTCTTTATATGTTTCCCTATACACTGTCAAGACATGGGTGAAGCTGGAACTGTGGGAGGTAGCAGGATGGAATCACACTTGGTTCTGCAAGGGAACTTTCACTGTGTTGAAGAGGAGGGAACGGTTCTAAAGGAATCCTGATATAGCAGGTGTGTAGGAGGAGCAAGTATAGAGACATGATGTATGGCAACATATTGTATTTAGGGTTTTTATTGAATAAGTGGATTTTAGCTGATTTTGTCACAAAAAGCAAGCATGTAAGATAATACATCTATTGATTCATATTTCTGTAGAGATTTATTAACTATGTGGGTGTTGTAAAGCTCAGATACACTTATCAAAGAGATGCTAGCTAGCACTGTGGGAGGATAGTGAATTCAAGATCACACTGACTGATGAGATTATATCTCAATATAAATACACAAAGAACTGCTGTGGTCACATAAGACATACAATCAGAAAACTCTTCAGTGGTCAGAGAAGAAATGGCCAAAGAGGAAAGAGGAACCTTCTGTGGTCACTAAAACAGATTTCATTCACATGGACAGCAAATGCAGCAGGAGAAATCCTAGATTTAGGCACATTGTTTACTTGACAAAGTAACTGTGCATGCAGAAACTGAGGAAACCAAAACTAGAATGTGACAAAAATAGGTATTTCTGGACAGGAATGGAGTTAGAAGGTTTCCTAAAATCCAAAACAGCAAAGAATGTGCTGTGGAAAGTCTGCTCTCATGATCAAAGCTGCCATGAATTGAGAAGTCATGATAGCAGAAAATATAATTATGTAACAAAGACAGCTGTAGTTTGTGAAAACAAGAAGGTATATGTTTTTTTATAGAGGGAGCTACAACATATAGCATTTAAAGCCAAGCTCATAACCAGAGCAGAAAGACTTTTAAAGGCATGAGCAAGGAGTGACTTCTTACATTATCAAAGTAGATGCACCTGGAAAAATCATGAAGGTGAAGGACTTATTTCTTAGCCAGTGATAGAAACTTTTTTTCTGACCAACTCGGTTGAGCCTATAGAAGAGGAGAAGCAGGAAAATTTCCTTAAGTAGGGTGGATATGGATTGGGAAGACATGGTAATGGAAAACTTCTTGCATTACCAAGCAACTTTAACTCATGATGAAATGGATTTGGAAAGCATTTCACAACTACAACCCTGCACTGAATGAGATGACATAGAAGTTGAGCATCACTTTCTTGTCAACAGCATCTATATCTAGGGAAAGACATAGTGATGGATGACATATTACAGTACTAAAGTAAAAGGGAGGATGTGACTGCAAAGAATTCCAGAGTATTGCCAGAGTAGTTGCGAGTTAGAAACATATAGGCATGGAAAATTATAATGTGATTTAAAAAACCCTTATAAGTGAATAAGTCATACTAGATGTTCTCTTTGCAACCAAAATATTTAATGATTATCCAAGACCGACAATTGAATTCTATCTTTTATGGGTGCTCATTTTGAATAATAAATTGATAAGAAAAACTTTGTCAATGCATTAAAGAGATATGTTAGTAAAGACATAAGATAGAAAGCTTATTTCCTAATAAAACTATGTATGGTAGAAAATATAGCATGAAGAGTACATTTCATGAAGCAGATAGGAAAATGATAGCCATTTTTATCATCATTTATTACTGTGGTGGGGAAATACTTGACAAAAATATGGCTTTGAAATATATGGAAATTGAAAATTTCAGAAGCTATCAAAGAATATACCTGGAAAAGACAAGAATATAGAGTAGGCTGGGCATTGGTGGTGCACACCTTTAATCCCAGAACTCAGGAGGTAGAGGCAGATGGATATCTGTGAGTTTAAGGCCAGCCTGGTCTACAGAGCGAGTGCCAGGATAGGCTCCAAAGCTACACGGAGAAAACCTGTTTTGAAAACCAAAAAAAGAATATGGAATAGATATTATGATTTGAAGGCAGCTATAACTCGAGAAGACATAGATATTGAAGACTGCTGTGTTGCCAAAATAAATCCAGCTATGGAAGACATATAAATGCAATAATCCCTTCATGGCTAGAATAAATGATGATGAAGAAGATACAGAAATGGCAAACTTCCTTTGAAACCTACATGACATGTTTTCTTTGGGAGTGGCTGAGTTTAAAGATTTGCCTCCTCACCAGAGCACAGGTAACTAGATAAAAACGAGATACAGAACACTTTTGAATGATCAAAGTAGAAAGAGCTGGAATCATAAAATGCAGAGACTATTATGATTAATACAGGGATTAATGTGGAGAATATCAAATGGAAAGCTTTCTATTTAAAACTAGAGTAGAAAAGACATAAAGGGGTTATGGATATCAGAACAGCAATGCCTATGAAAGACATGGCATAGGAAACATTAAACACCAAACAGGTAATCATTGTCACATAGCTGAAATTTCTTATTGTTAGACCAGACAATGAAGGGAAGAACATGAACATGAAAGATACCAATTGTTCAAGAATTTATCATTGAAAAACACACAAACCTGAAACAAACTAGAAAACACTTAATCCTAGTATCGAGGGGAAAAAACCTGGAAAATAACTGGCACATACTTGAAAAATAACTTCACAGAAACCAAGCAAATGCTAACTAACAAAAAAGACCTAGCTATGGACACCAAATAATCAGCTACCACAATTGAGCACGTACAAGTCTGAGCATGGACCATGCTGCCTGGCACCTTGCCAGCCTGCAGAGTGACCCAGATGTTCACCCACCCATTTGGCCTAAAAATCCCAGTCCTACTCTGGATCTCACAGCTTATACACCAGTTGAGTCAGGTAAGTGCTCCTGAACCCAGAATGCCCCTGCCCTTCATAATCCCAGGCATAGATAATGTAGCAATCAGAACCCTACCACAACAAAGTGAGAAACATACTCTTATGAAACTGCCCAATCCTTACAAACCTATGATTAATTGGTATCTTGCACACTGCACACTAGACAATGAGACTGATCCAGTATTCTGCTTTCCAACAAGATGGCCATTATCCTTCTATGGGCAAAAACCCTGTGATTCATCACATCCTGGTGACTAAAAATTTGCAGATAAGGCTGGGATCATACAGCCACAAACCAGCCCAATTTATTGACTGGGGCATAGCTGCATTAAAACTAAATATCCCCAAATACTTAGGCACAGATAGCAACGTGATGCATATGCAACATTCCAATATGTGAAGTTCCCAAATATCAAATTCTCATGAATTCTATAATTACAGGACTGGCTGGGATCCCATAGATTCTGATAAATGCAGCATAGTAGGAACAAAGACATGATTTCAGAGGCAATTTTCCACTAGTGTTAGTCTTGAGGTACACGAGCCCATAGAGGAAAGGGGCACAAAAAGCATTAAAAAAGACAATGCAGTAACACAAATACACAATCCGAAGACCTATGGTCAAAAACTGAACCCCGGGATGAGAACCACTGCTACAAGACAAGGTCTCTGTTGACTTTACAACAGTGGGCAAAGTTAGTGCCCCAGATCACATGAATTCTCACAATATTTGACACACCCTAATAGGCCAAGTTGATGGGGTCCCATTTTACAAAGAGTTCTGTGTGGGAACAGTGAGTGAACGACACGACACCTCCCCACCCCAATTGGGCTACATTGCAAGGTGTAGCTGGAATCTTGTAGTCTGCATGCCAGTATTTCATGGATTCTGGTCCATTCACTTGCTGCTCACCACATGTACATACTGCACATGGATGTGTCATCAAAAACCCTGGGCAACATCCTGTCCTGAGAAAGTCACCCTTCCCTACTGGGATGAGCAGAAAGGGCGGCCATCATGCAGGCTCCACACCAGCTGAGGCGTGAAGCGGTCTAGACCTTGCCTTTCCCACACAGGCTCTTGGGGGACACCCATTGTTACTCTCCACTTATAAACATGAGAGCATTGTGTGCCTCAGCTCCTGAGCTCCTCATAGAATTCCATAGTCCCAGGCTTGGCCACATCTCCCATAGCCTGTGTTCCATTCCAGCAAAGTGAAGATGCCCACAGCTCTCGTCACAGTCCATGGTCCCACTTTCCACATCTGGATGGATATGCACACCTTGAGCTCTCATTCAGTAAGGGGCAAGCTCTAGGCTGGCACATACCCATCACTTACGACCCAGTGCAGAGACTAGCTGGGGACACAAGTTGTGCCTGCCATTACATTCAGCTGCGACATAGACAGATTAATGCTGTCAACTTGACAGTGTTTCCTAATTTCCACCAACGATTTACAAAGACCATTAGAAAGGGTGCCACAAATATATCTCCATGGCCCTGTCCCCGACTCTTTGGCCCTGCTGGTGTTACACAGTTTCGTGGACCTGACTAGTTTTTACAGCTCTATATTATCCCCAAATCTGATCAATCTGAACCAACTGGGATCCTCTTGCTCGCAGTCAGACCATCCTTGTAGAAGGTCTGTAGCTTTATTTCACAAAAGTCACCCACGGAATCTGGAGATGCCTTTTCCAGGGTCCATGAGCCTGTGTAACACCCAAGACTCAGCAGTGACCCAGATATGATCAGCCCCCAACAATGTACCCAACCACCCAGTACAGAGACCTTGCTGTGGGCAAATGGCCTTCACCTTTCAATTGGGAAGAGTGGCCAGACACTACCCATCTTCCATGCATCCAAAAGGCAGTGTGGGTTTCAACAGCTCCCCCACCTGGCAGCAGTAATACAGTTCCGCATTTTGTGTTGACCACAACCTGTAACATTATTGTACTTGCAAAATCCTAACAGTAATTTTGCTCCTGCTATGAGTCCCAGCAGGAATGTGTTTTTTACAGGTGGTCTTTGGGAGGGTCGCAACCACTGGGATGAGAACCACTGCCACGAGACAAGGTCTCTGTTGTCTTTACAACAGCGGGCAAAGTTAACGCCCCAGATCACATGAATTCTCACACTATTTGACACGCCCTAATAGGTCAAGTTGATGGGGTCAGCATGCCAAAGAGTCCTGTGCAGGAACAGTGAGTGAACAAAACCTCCCCACCCCAATTTCTCTAACTTGCTGGGCCTAGATGGAATCTTGTAGTCTGCATGCCAGTATTTCATGGATTCTGGTCCATTCAATTGCCTGTTCACAGCAAGCCCATAATTGAAATGGAAGTGGCGTCAAAACGCCTGGGCAAAATCCTGTCCTGGTGAGGGCCTATCATACCAGAGTCACACTTCCCTAATTGGATGAGTTGAAAGGGCAGGCATCAAGCAGGCTCCAAACCAGCTGAGGCTTGAAGCGGCCTAGACCTTGCCTATCCCACACAGGCTCTTGGGGGATACCCGGTGTTATTCTCCAGGTACACAAGACAAGAGAGCAGTGAGGCCCAACCCTGAGTTCCTCATAGAATTCCGTAGTACCAGGCCTGGCTGCATCTGCAACAACTTCTGCTCCATTCCAGCAAAGTGACGATGCCCACAGCTCCCGTCACAGACCACAGTCCCACTCTCCACATCTGGATGGATATGCACATCTTGAGCTTCAGGTCCACAAGGGGCAAGCTCTAGGCTGGCACATACACATAAATTACAACACAGTGCAGAGACTAGCTGGGGACGCAGGTTGTGGCTGCCACTACATTCGGCTGGGTCAAAGACAGATTAATGCTGTCAATCACCACAGCTCAGAGGTTTTCCAGGATGCCACACAAGGTGCACCTGGCCCCTCAGCTATAGGGCATTGGGTCCATCATGCTCATGCATTCAAAACTTCACAAGGTTTCCTAATTTCCACCAACATTTAAGAAAACCATTAGAAAGGGTGGCACAAATATATCCCCATGGCCCTGTCCCAGACAATTTGGCCCTGCTGGTGTTGCACAGTTTCGTGGACATGACTAGTTGTTACAGCTCTATATTATCCCCAAATTTGATCAATCTGAACCAACTGGGATCTCATTGATAACATACTGACCATCCTCAAAGATGGACTGTAGTTTTTCTTTCAACCATGTCACCCACAGCATCAGGGGATGCCTCTTCCAGGGTCCAGGTGCCTGTGCAACACCCAAGACTCAGCAGTGACCCAGATATGTTCTTCTGCCACGAATGTGTCCACCCACACTGGACAGAGACCTTGCTGTGGGCAAATGGCCTTCACTTTTCAATTAGGAAGAGCGGCAAGACTGTACCCACATTCCGCAGAGCCAATAGGCAGTGATTGGGTTTCAACAGCTCCACCACCTGGCACCCTCTAATACAGTTCCTCAGGTTGTGTTGACTACCAACCAAAAAATTATTTTCCTTTCCAGGTCCTAACTGTAATTTTGGTTCTGCTATGACTCCTAGCAGAAATTTCTTTTGTGCCGGTGGACATTTGGAGGGTCGCTAACTACAGGATAGGAACCCTTGCCAGGACACAAGGTCTCTGTTGAATTTACAACCCAGGCGAAGTTAGTGTCTCAGATCACATGAATTATCATACTGTTGTACATGTCCTAATAGGCCAAGTTGATGTGGTCCCCATTCCAAAGAGTCCTGTGTGGGAACAGTATATGAACGACACCTCCCCACGCAAATTTGGCTATATTGCAAGGCATAGCTGGAATCTTGTAGCCTGTATGCCAGTATTTCATGTATTCTAGTCCATTCATGTGCCTCCTCACAGCATGCCCATACTTCACATGGATGTGGCATCAAAGACGCCTGGGCAACATCCTGTCCTGCCAAAGTCACCCTTCCCCACTGGGATGAGCAGAAAGGGCGGGCATCATGCAGTCCCCACACCAGCTGAGGCTTGAAGCTATCTAGACCTTGCCTTTCCCATACAGGCTCTTGGGGGACACCCATTGTTACTCTCCACTTTTAAACATGAGAGCATTGTGTGCCTCAGCTCCTGAGCTCCTCATAGAATTCCATATTTCCAGACTTGGCCACATTTCCCATAGCCTGTGTTCCATTCCAGCAAAGTGACAATGTCCACAGCTCCTGTCAGAGGTCAGGGTCCCACTCTACACCTCTGGATGAATATGCATATCTAGAGCGCTAGGTCTGCAAGGGGCAAGCTCTAGGCTCCCACATACCTATCACTTAAGACACAGTGCAGAGACTAGCTGGGGACACATGTTGTGGCTGCCACTACATTCGGCTGTGTCAAAGACAAATTTATGCTGTCCACCACCACAGCTCAGAGGCTTCCCAGGATGCCACACAAGGTGCACCTGGCCCCCCAGCTGAGGGGCTTGAGTCCATCATGCCCATACATTGAAAACTTCACAAGGTTTCCTAATTTCCACCAACATTTAAGAAAACCATTAGAAAGGGTGGCACAAATATATCCCCATGGCCCTGTCTCAGACTCTTTGGCCCCGCTGGTGTTGCACAGTTTCATGGACATGACTAGTTGTTACAGCTCTATATTATCCCCAAATTTGATCAATCTGAACCAACTGGGATCTCATTGATAACATACTGACCATCCTCAAAGATGGACTGTAGTTTTCCTTTAACCATGTCACCCACGGCATCTGGGGATGCCTCTTCCAGGGTCCAGGTGCCTGTGCAACACCAGAGACTCAGCAGTGAGCCAGATATGTTCTTCTTCCATGAATGTCTTCACCCTCCCAGGACAGAGACCTTGCTGTGGGCAAATGGCCTTCACTTTTCAATTAGGAAGAGCGGCCAGATTGTACCCACTTTCCTCACAGCCAATAGGCAGTGAGTGGGTTTCAACAGCTCCACCACCTGGCACCCTCTAATACAGTTCCTCAGGTTGTGTTGACTACCAACCAAAAAATTATTTTCCTTTCCAGATCCTAATTGTAATTTTGGTTCTGCTATGACTCCTAGCAGAAATTTCTTTTGTGCCGGTGGATGTTTGGAGGGTCGCTAACTATAGGATAGGAACCACTGCCAGGACACAAGGTCTCTGTTGACTTTATAACAGCGGGCAAAGTTAGTGCCTCAGATCACAAGAATTATCATACTATTTGACACGCCCTAATAGGCCATGTTGATGCGGTCCCAATTCCAAAGAGTCCTGTGTGGGAACAGTGAGTGAAGGAAAACTCCCCACACAAATTTGGCTCCATTGCCAGGCATAGCTGGAATCTTGTAGCCTGCATGCCAGTATCTCATGGATTCTAGTTCATTCATTTGCCTCCTCACAGCATGCCCATACTTCACATGGATGTGGCATCAAAGATGCCTGGGCAACATCCTGTCGTGTCAAAGGCACCTTTCCCTACTGGTATGAGCCGAAAGGGTAGGCACCAGGCAAGCTCCACACCAGCTGAGGCTTGAAGCTGTCTAGACCTTGCCTTTCCCACACAGGCTCTTGGGGGACACCCGGTGTTACCCTCCAGTCATGAACATGACAGCATTGTGTGCCTCAGCTCCTGAGCTCCTCATAGAATTCCATAGTCCCAGGCTTGGGCACATCTCCCATAGACTGTATTCCATTCCTGCAAATTGACGATGCCCACAGCTCTCGTCACAGGCCACGGTCCCACTCTCCACATCTGGATGGATATGCACATCTTGAGCTATAGGTCTGCGAGTGGCAAACTCTAGGCTCGCACATACCCATCACTTATGACACAGTGCAGAGACTAGCTGGGGACGCAGGTTGTGGCTGCCACTACATTCGGCTGGAATATAGACAGATTAATGCTGTCCACCACCACAGCTCAGAGGTTTGCCAGAATGCCACACATCATGCATCTGGCTCCCCAGATATTGGGCTTTGGGTCCATCATGCTCATGCATTCAAAACTTCACAAGGTTTCCAGATTTCCACCAACATTTAAGAAAACCATTAGAAAGGGTGGCACAAATATCTCCATGGCCCTGTCCCAGACTCTTGGGCCCCGCTGGTGTTGCACAGTTTCATGGACATGACTAGTTGTTACAGCTCTATATTATCCCCAAATTTGATATATCTGAACCAACTGGGATCTCATTGATAACATACTGACCATCCTCAAAAATGGACTGTAGTTTTTCTTTCAACCATGTCACCCACGGCATCTGGGGATGCCTCTTCCAGGGTCCAGGTGTCTGTGCAACACCCAAGACTCAGCAGTGACCCAGATATGTTTTGCTTCCATGAATGTCTTCACACTCCCAGGACAGAGACCTTGCTGTGGGCAAATGGCCTTCACTTTTCAATTAGGAAGAGCAGCCAGACTGTATCCAGCTCCCTCATAGCCAATAGGCAGTGGTGGGTTTCAACAGCTCCACCACCTGGCACCCTCTAATACAGTTCCTCAGGTTGTGTTGACTACCAACCAAAAAATTATTTCCCTTTCAACATCCTAATTGTAATTTTGGTTCTGCTATGACTCCTAGCAGAAATTTCTTTTGCGCCGGTAGACGTTTGGAGGGTCGCTAACTACAGGATAGGAACCACTGCCTGGACACAAGGTCTCTGTTGAATTTACAACGCAGGCAAAGTTAGTGCCTCAGATCACAAGAATTATCATACTATTTGACATGCGCTAATAGGCCAATTTTATTTGGTTCCCATTCCAAAGAGTCCTGTGTGGGAACAGGGAATGAACTTCACCTGCACACACAAATTTGGCTACATTGCCAGGCATAGCTGGAATCTTGTACCCTGTATGGCAGCATTTCATGGATTCTAGTCCATTCATTTGCCTCCTCACAGCATGCCCTTACTGGATGTGGCATCAAAGACGCCAGGGCATCATCCTGTCCTGCCAAAGGCACCCTTCCCTACTGGTATGAGCAGAAAGGGCGGCCATTATCCAAGCTCCACACCAGCTGAGGCTTGAAGCTGTCTAGATCTTGCCTTTCCCACACAGGCTCTTGGGGGACACCCGGTATTACTCTCCAGTCATAAACATGAGAGCATTGTGTGCCTCAGATCCTGAGCTCTTCATAGAATTCCATATTCCAGGCTTGGCCACTTCTCCCATAGCCTGTGTTCCATTCCAGCAAAGTGACGATGCCGACAGCTCCAGTCACAGGCCATGGTCCCACTCTCCACATCTGGATGGATATGCACATCTTGAGCTCTAGGTCCGCAATGGGCAAGCTCTAGGCTGGCACATACCCATCTCTTACAACACAGTGCAGAGACTAGCTGGGGACGCAGGTTGTAGCCTGCCACTACATTCGGCTGGGTCAAAGACAAATTAATGCTGTCCACCACCACGGCTCAGAGGCTTTCCTGGATGCCACACAAGGTGCACCTATCCCCTCAGCTATGGGACTTTGGGTCCATCATTGCTCATGCATTCAAAACTTCACAAGGTTTACAAATTTCCACCAACATTTAAGAAAACCATTAGAAAGGGTGGCACAAATATATCCCCTTGGCCCTGTCCCAGACAATTTGGCCCTGCTGGTGTTGCACAGTTTTGTGGACATGAGTAGTTGTTACAGCTCTATATTATCCCCAAATTTGAACAATCTGAACCAATTGGATTCTCAGTGAAAACATAATGACCATCTTAAAAGATGGACTGATAATTTTCCTTTCAACCATGTCACCCATGGCATCTGGGGATGCCTCTTTCAGGGTCCAGGTGCCTGTGCAACACCCAAGACTCAGCAGTGACCCAGATACGTTCATCTGCCTGGAATGTCTCCACCCACCCAGGACAGAGACCTTGCTGTGGGTAAATGGCCTTCGCTTTAAATTAGGAAGAGAGCCAGACTGTACCCAGGTCCCTCACAGCCAATACGCAGTGGTGGGTTTCAACAGCTCCACAACCTGGCAACCTCTAATACAGTTCCTCAGGTTGTGTTGACTACCAACCAAAAATTTATTTTACTTGCGACATCCTAATTGTAATTTTGCTTCCGCTATGACTCCTAGCAAGAATTTCTTTTGTGCCAGTGGACTTTGGAGTGTTGCTAACCACAGGATAGGAAACACTGCCAGGACACAAGGTCTCTGTTGACTTTACAACAGCAGGCAAAGTTAGGGTCTCAGATCACATGAATTATCATACTATTTGACACGCCCTAATAGGCCAAGTTGATGCGGTCCCCATTCCAAAGACTCCTGTGTGGGAACAGTGAGTGAAGGAAAACTCCATACCCAAATTTGGCTCCATTGCCAGGCATAGCTGGAATCTTGTAGCCTGCATGCCAGTATCTCATGGATTCTAGTTCATTCATTTGCCTCCTCACAGCATGCCCATACTTCATATGGATGTGGCATCAAAGATGCCTGGGCAACATCCTGTCCTGACAAAGTCACCCTTCCCTACTGGGATGAGCAGAAAGGGCGGGCAGCATGCAGGCTCCACACCAGCTGAGGTTTGAAGCGGTCTAGACCTTGCCTTTCGCACACAGTCTCTTGGGGGACACCTGGTATTACTCTCCAGTTATAAACATGAGAGCATTGTGTGCCTCAGCTCCTGAGCTCCTCATAGAATTCCATAGTCCCAGGCATGGCCACATCTCCCGTAGCCTGTATTCCATTCAAGCAAATTGATGATGCCCCCAGCTCCCGTCACAGGCCACGTTCCCACTCTCCACATCTGGATGGATATGCACATCTTGAGCTATAGGTCTGCAAGGGGCACGCTCTAGGCTGGCACATACCCATCACTTACGACACAGTGCAGAGACTAGCTGGGGTTGCATGTTTTGGCTGCCACTAGATTCGGCTGGGATAAAGAGATTAATGCTGTCCCCCACCACAGCTCAGAGGCTTTCCAGGATGCCACACAAGGTGCACCTGGCACCCCAGCTGTGGGGCTTGTGTCTATCATGTTCATGTATCCAAAACTTCACAAGGTTTCCTAATTTCCACCACTTTTAAGAAAACCATTAAAAAGGGTGGCACAAATATATCCCCATGGCCCTTTCCCAGACACTTTGGCCCTGCTAGTATTGCACAGTTTTGTGGACATGAATAGTTGTTAAAGCTCTATATCATCCCCAAATTTGAACAATCTGAACCAACTAGGATCTCATTGATAACATGCTGACCATCCTCAAAGATGGACTGTAATTTTGCTTTCATGTCACCCGCGGCATCTGGGGTTGCCTCTTCCAGGGTCCAGGGGCCTGTGCAACACCCAAGACTCAGCAGTGTCCCAGATATGTTCTTCTGCCACGAATGTCTCCACCCACCCAGGACAGAGACCTTGCTGTGGGCAAATAGCCTTCACTTTTCAATTAGGAAGACCGTCAGACTGTACCCACCTTCCTCACAGCCAATAGGCAGTGAGTGGGTTTCAACAGCTCCACCACCTGGCAACCTCTAATACAGTTCCTCAGTTTGTGTTGACTACCAACCAAAAATTATTTTACTTGCGACATGCTAATTGTAATTTTTATTCTTCTATGACGCCTAGCAGGAATTTCTTTCGTGCAGGTGGACTTTTGGAGGGTCGCTAACCACAGGATAGGAACCACTGCCATGAGACAAGGTCTCTGTGGACTTTACAACAGCAGCCATAGTTAGTGTCTCAGATTACAAGAATTATCATACTATTTGACATGCCCTAATACGCCAAGTTGATGCGGTTCCCATTCAGAGAGTCCTGTGTGGGAACAGTGAGTAAACGACACCTCCCCACACAAATTTCTCTACATTGCCAGGTCTAGTTGTTATCTTGTAGTCTGCATGTCAGTATTTCATGGATTCTTGTCCATTCATTTGCCTGCTCACAGCATGCACATAGTTCACATAGATGTGTTCTCAAAATGCCTTGGCAATATCCTGTCCTGGTGACAGGCTAACTTGCCACAGAAACCCATTACTCTGGGTATAACAGAAAGGGCGAGAATCATGCAGGGTCCACTCCAGCTGAGCCTTGAAGTGGTCTAGACCTTGATTTCTCACACAGACTCTTGGGAGATGTCTGGTGTTACTCTGCAGGAATAAGCCAAGAGAGCAGTGAGTGCCCCAATCCTGAGCTTTTCATACAATTCCATAGTCCCAGGCCTGGGCAGATTTCCCACAGCCTGTGATCCATTACAGCAATATGAGGATGCCCACCGCTCCCGTCACAGGCCCCGGACCCACACTCTCCATCTGGATAGATATGTATACTTTGAGCTCTAGTCCAGCAAGGGGCAAAATCCAGGCTGCCACATATCTGTCCCTTATGACACTTGAAATATCTAGCTGGGGACACAGGTTCTGTGTGAATGTACATTGGGCTGAGAAGAAGTGAGAATAATGCTGGCCACCAACCACCACAGCTCAGAGGCCTGTTCGCAATGTGCACCAGGCCACCCAGCTATGAGGCTTGGGGCCCATTGTGCTCATGCATTCAACCCTTCCCAACCTTATCTAATTTCCACCAACTATTTACGCAACCCATTAGAGAGGGTGGAGTACATATATCCCCATGACTATGTCCCCCACTCTTAGGTCCTACTGGTGTTACACAGTTTCGTGAACCTAGCCACTTTGTTTCAGTTCTATATCCACATTATCCCCAAATCTGATCAATCTGAACCAACTGGGATCCTATTGCTCACAATCAGACCATCCTTGGATATAGGCTATAGCTTTCCTTTCACTGAAGTCACCCAATGCATCTGGGGAAGACTCTTCCAGGGTTCAGGAGCCTGTGCAACATCTAAGACTCATCAGTGACCCAGATATGTTCATCCCCCACCAATGTCCCCACCCACCCGGGACAGAGACCTTGCTGTGGGCAAATGGCCTTCACGTTTCAATTCAGAAGAGTGGCCAGACTCTCACCCAACTTCCTCACAGCCAAAAGGCAGTGAGTGGGTTTCAACAGCTCCAGCACCTGGCACCGTGTAATACAGTTCCTCATGTTGTGTTGACCAGCAACCATAACATTATTTTACTTGCTACATGACAACTGTATTTTTGCATCTGGTATGACTCCTAGCAGGAATGTGTTTTGCGCAGATGGTCTTTTGGAGGGCTGATACACACAGGATGAGAACCACTGCCATGAGACAAGGTCTCTGTTGAATTTACAACAGCGGGCTAAGTTAGTGCCCCAGATCACATGAATTATCACACTATTTGACACGCCCTAATAGGCCAAGTTAATGTGGTCCCAATTCCAAAGATTCCTGTGTGGGAACAGTGATTAAACGACACCTCCCCACGCGAATTTGCCTACATAGCATGGCATGGCTGGAATCTCGTAGACTGCATGCCAGTATTTCATGGATTCTGGTCTATTCACTTGCCTGCTCACAGCAAGCCCATAGTTCACATGGATGTCGCATCAAAAAACCTGGGAAGCATCCTGTCATGGTGACGGGTTAACATGTCACAGTCACCCTTCCCTAATGGGATGAGCAGAAAGGGGATGCCTCTTCCAGGGTCCAGGTGCCTGTGCAACACCCAAGACTCAGCAGTGACCCAGATATCTTCTTCTGCCACGAATGTCTACATCCAGCCAGGACAGAGACCTTGCTGTTGGCAAATGGCCTTCACTTTTCAAATAGGAAGAGCGGCCAGACTGTATCCACATTCCTCACAGCCAATAGGCAGTGAGTGGGCATCAACAGCTCCACCACCTGGCAACCTCTAAAACAGTTCCTCAGGTTGTGTTGACTACCAACCAAAAAATTATTTTACTTGCGACATCCTAATTGTAATTTTGCTTGGGCTATGCCTCCTAGCAAAAATTTCTTTTGCGCCGGTGGACTTTTGGAGGGTCGCTAACCACAGGATAGGAAAAACTGCCAGGACACAAGGTCTCTGTTGACTTTACAACAGCAGGCAAAGTTAGTGTCTCAGATCACAGGAATCATCATACTATTTGACATGCCCTAATAGGCCAAGTTGAAGTGGTCCCCATTCCAAAGGGTCCTGTGTGGGAACAGTGAGTGAACGACACCTCCCCACACAAATTTGGCTCCATTGCCAGGCATAGCTGGAATTTTGTAGCCTGCATGTCAGTATCTCATGGATTCTAGTCTATTCATTTGCCTCCTCACAGCATGCCCATACTTCACATGGATGTGGCATCAAAGACGCCTGGGCAACATCCTGTCCTGCCAAAGTCACCCTTCCCCACTGGGATGAGCAGAAAGGGCGGCCATCATGCAGGCTCCACACCAGCTGAGGATAGAAGCGGTCTAGACCTTGCCTTTCCCACACAGGCTCTTGGGGGACACCCATTGTTACTCTCCACTTATAAACATGAGAGCATTGAGTGCCTCAGCTCCTGAGCTCCTCATAGAATTCCATATTTCCAGACTTGGCCACATCTCCCATAGCCTGTGTTCCATTCCATCAAAGTGACGATGCCCACAGCTCCCGTCACAGGCCACAGTCCCACCCTCCACATCTGGATTGGCATGCACACTTTGAGCTCTATTTCATCAAGGGGCGAGTTTTAGGCTGGCACATACTCATCACTGACAACACAGTTCAGAGACTATCTGGCGACGCAGGTTGTAGCTGCCACTACATTTTTCTGGTTCAGTGACAGATTAATGCTGTTCACCACCACAGCTTAGAGGCTTTCCAGGATGCCACACAACGTGCACCTGGCCCCCCAGCTATGGGGCTTTGGGTCGATCATGCTCATGCATTCAAAACTTCACAAGGTTTCCTAATTTCCACCAACTATTTAAGTAAACCATTAGAAAGGTTGGCACACAAATATCTCCATGGCCCTGTGTCTGAGTCTTTGGCCCTGCTGGTGTAGCACAGTTTCATGGACATGACTAGTTGTTACAGCTCTTATATTATCCCCAAATTTGATCAGTCTTAACCCACTGGGATCTCATTGATAACATTCTGAGCATCCTCACCGTTGGACTGTAGTTTTTCTTACAGCCATGTCACCCTCTGCATCTGGGGATGCCTCTTCCAGGGTCCAGGTGCCTGTGCAACACCCAAGACTCAGCAGTGACCCAGATATGTTCTTCTGCGACGAATGTCTCCACCCACCCAGGACAGAGACCTTGCTGTCGGCAAATGGCCTTCACTTTTCAATTAGGAAGAGGGGCTAGACTGTACCCAACTTCGTCACAGCCAATTGGCAGTAAGTTGGTTTCAACAGCTCCACCACCTGGCACCTTCTAATACAGTTCCTCAGGTTGTGTTGACTACCAACCAAAAAATTATTTTACATGCGACATACTAATTGCAACTTTCCTTCTGCTATGTCTCCTAGCAGAAATTCCTTTTGCACCGGAGACTTTTGGAGGATCGCTAACCACAGGATAGGACCCACTGCCATGAAACAAGGTCTCTGTTGACTTTACAACAGCAGGCAAAGTTAGTGCCCCAGATCACATGAATTATCATACTATTTGACACGCCCTAATAGGCCAAGTTGATGCGGTCCCAATTCCAAAGAGTCCTGTGTGGGAACAGTGAGTGAACGACACCTCCCCACACAAATTTGGCTCCATTGCCAGGCATAGCTGGAATTTTGTAGCCTGCATGTCAGTATCTCATGGATTCTAGTCTATTCATTTGCCTCCTCACAGCATGCCCATACTTCACATGGATGTGGCATCAAAGACGCCTGGGCAACATCCTGTCCTGCCAAAGTCACCCTTACCCAGTGGGATGAGCAGAAAGGGCGGCCATCATGCAAGCTCCACACCAGCTGAGGATAGAAGCAGTCTAGACCTTGCCTTTCCCACACAGGCTCTTGGGGGACACCCATTGTTACTCTCCACTTATAACCATGAGAGCATTGTGTGCCTCAGCTCCTGAGCTCCTCATAGAATTCCATATTTCCAGACTTGGCCACATCTCCCATAGCCTGTGTTCCATTCCATCAAAGTGACGATGCCCACAGCTACCGTCACAGGCCACAGTCCCACTCTCCACATCTGGATTGACATGCACACTTTGAGCTCTATTTCATCAAGGGGCGAGTTTTAGGCTAGCACATACTCATCACTGACAACACAGTTCAGAGACTATCTGGCGACGCAGGTTGTAGCTGCCACTACATTTTTCTGGTTCAGTGACAGATTAATGCTGTTCACCACCACAGCTTAGAGGCTTTCCAGGATGCCACACAAGGTGTCCCTGGGCCCCCAGCTATGGGGCTTTGAGTCCATCATGCTCATACATTCAAAACTTCACAAGGTTTCCTAATTTCCACCAACTATTTATGAAAATCATTAGAAAGGGTGGCACACATATATCTCCATGGCCCTGTTTCCGAGTCTTTGGCCGTGCTGGTGTTGCACAGTTTCATGGACATAACTAGTTGTTACAGCTCTATATTATCCCCAAATTTGATCAATCTGAACCAACTTAGATCTCATTGATAACATACTGACCATCCTCAAAGATGGACTGTAATTTTTCTTTGAACCATATCACCCTCGGCATCTGGGGATGCCTCTTCCAGGGTCCAGGTGCCTGTGCAACACCAGAGACTCAGCAGTGACCCAGATATGTTCATCTGACACGAATGTCTACATCCAGCCAGGACAGAGACCTTGCTGTTGGCAAATTGCCTTCACTTTTCAATTAGGAAGAGCAGCCAGACTGTACCCACATTCATCACAGCCAATAGGCAGTGAGTGGGCTTCAACAGCTCCACCATTGGCAACCTCTAAAACAGTTCCTCAGGTTGTGTTGACTACCAACCAAAAAATTATTTTACTTGTGACATCCTAATTGTAATTTTGCTTGGGTTATGCCTCCTAGCAAAAATTTCTTTTGCGCTGGTGGACTTTTGGAGGGTCGCTAACCACATGATAGGAAAAACTGCCAGGACACAAGGTCTCTGTTGACTTTACAACAGCAGGCAAAGTTAGTGTCCCAGATCACATGAATCATCATACTATTTAACACGCCCTAATAGGCCAAGTTGAAGTGGACCCCATTCCAAAGTGTCCTGTGTGGGAACAGTGAGTGAACGACACCTCCCCACACAAATTTGGCTCCATTGCCAGGCATAGCTGGAATCTTGTAGCCTGCATGCCAGTATCTCATGGATTCTAGTCCATTCATTTGCCTCCTCACAGCATGCCCCTACTTCACATGGATGTGGCATCAAAGACGCCTGGGCAACATCCTGTCCTGCCAAAGTCACCCTTCCCCACTGGGATGAGCAGAAAGGGCGGCCATCATGCAGGCTCCACACCAGCTGAGGATAGAAGCGGTCTAGACCTTGCCTTTCCCACACAGGCTCTTGGGGAACACCCATTGTTACTCTCCACTTATAAACATGAGAGCATTGTGTGCCTCAACTCCTGAGCTCCTCATAGAATTCCATAGTTCCAGGCTTGGGCACATCTCCCATAGCCTGTGTTCCATTCCAGCAAAGTGTTGATGCCCACAGTTCCCGTCACATGCCACGGTCTACTCTCCACATCTGGATTGACATTCACACTTTGAGCTCTATTTCAGCAAGGGGCGAGTTTTAGGCTGGCACATACTCATCACTGACAACACAGTGCAGAGACTGTCTGGCGACGCAGGTTGTAGCTGCCACTACATTTTTCTGGTTCAGTGACAGATTAATGCTGTTCACCACCACAGCTTAGAGGCTTTCCAGGATGCCACACAACGTGCACCTGGCCCCCCAGCTATGGGGCTTTGGGTCGATCATGCTCATGCATTCAAAACTTCACAAGGTTTCCTAATTTCCACCAACTATTTTAGTAAACCATTAGAAAGGTTGGCACACAAATATCTCCATGGCCCTGTGTCTGAGTCTTTGGCCCTGCTGGTGTAGCACAGTTTCATGGACATGACTAGTTGTTACAGCTCTTATATTATCCCCAAATTTGATCAGTCTTAACCCACTGGGATCTCATTGATAACATTCTGAGCATCCTCACCGTTGGACTGTAGTTTTTCTTACAACCATGTCACCCTCTGCATCTGGGGATGCCTCTTCCAGGGTCCAGGTGCCTGTGCAACACCCAAGACTCAGCAGTGACCCAGATATGTTCTTCTGCGACGAATGTCTCCACCCACCCAGGACAGAGACCTTGCTGTCGGCAAATGGCCTTCACTTTTCAATTAGGAAGAGGGGCTAGACTGTACCCAACTTCGTCACAGCCAATTGGCAGTAAGTTGGTTTCAACAGCTCCACCACCTGGCACCTTCTAATACAGTTCCTCAGGTTGTGTTGACTACCAACCAAAAAATTATTTTACATGCGACATACTAATTGCAACTTTCCTTCTGCTATGTCTCCTAGCAGAAATTCCTTTTGCACCGGAGACTTTTGGAGGATCGCTAACCACAGGATAGGACCCACTGCCATGAAACAAGGTCTCTGTTGACTTTACAACAGCAGGCAAAGTTAGTGTCCCAGATCACATGAATTATCATACTATTTGACACGCCCTAATAGGCCAAGTTGATGCGGTCCCAATTCCAAAGAGTCCTGTGTGGGAACAGTGAGTGAACGACACCTCCCCACACAAATTTGGCTCCATTGCCAGGCATAGCTGGAATTTTGTAGCCTGCATGTCAGTATCTCATGGATTCTAGTCTATTCATTTGCCTCCTCACAGCATGCCCATACTTCACATGGATGTGGCATCAAAGACGCCTGGGCAACATCCTGTCCTGCCAAAGTCACCCTTACCCAGTGGGATGAGCAGAAAGGGCGGCCATCATGCAAGCTCCACACCAGCTGAGGATAGAAGCAGTCTAGACCTTGCCTTTCCCACACAGGCTCTTGGGGACACCCATTGTTACTCTCCACTTATAACCATGAGAGCATTGTGTGCCTCAGCTCCTGAGCTCCTCATAGAATTCCATATTTCCAGACTTGGCCACATCTCCCATAGCCTGTGTTCCATTCCATCAAAGTGACGATGCCCACAGCTACCGTCACAGGCCACAGTCCCACTCTCCACATCTGGATTGACATGCACACTTTGAGCTCTATTTCATCAAGGGGCGAGTTTTAGGCTAGCACATACTCATCACTGACAACACAGTTCAGAGACTATCTGGCGACGCAGGTTGTAGCTGCCACTACATTTTTCTGGTTCAGTGACAGATTAATGCTGTTCACCACCACAGCTTAGAGGCTTTCCAGGATGCCACACAAGGTGTCCCTGGGCCCCCAGCTAAGGGGCTTTGAGTCCATCATGCTCATACATTCAAAACTTCACAAGGTTTCCTAATTTCCACCAACTATTTATGAAAATCATTAGAAAGGGTGGCACACATATATCTCCATGGCCCTGTTTCCGAGTCTTTGGCCGTGCTGGTGTTGCACAGTTTCATGGACATAACTAGTTGTTACAGCTCTATATTATCCCCAAATTTGATCAATCTGAACCAACTTAGATCTCATTGATAACATACTGACCATCCTCAAAGATGGACTGTAATTTTTCTTTGAACCATATCACCCTCGGCATCTGGGGATGCCTCTTCCAGGGTCCAGGTGCCTGTGCAACACCAGAGACTCAGCAGTGACCCAGATATGTTCATCTGACACGAATGTCTACATCCAGCCAGGACAGAGACCTTGCTGTTGGCAAATTGCCTTCACTTTTCAATTAGGAAGAGCAGCCAGACTGTACCCACATTCATCACAGCCAAGAGGCAGTGAGTGGGCTTCAACAGCTCCACCACCTGACAACCTCTAAAACAGTTCCTCAGGTTGTGTTGACTACCAACCAAAAAATTATTTTACTTGCGACATCCTAATTGTAATTTTGCTTGGGCTATGCCTCCTAGCAAAAATTTCTTTTGCGCCGGTGGACTTTTGGAGGGTCGCTAACCACAGGATAGGAAAAACTGCCAGGACACAAGGTCTCTGTTGACTTTACAACAGCAGGCAAAGTTAGGGTCTCAGATCACATGAATCATCACACTATTTGACATGCCCTAATAGGCCAAGTTGAAGTGGTCCCCATTCCAAAGGGTCCTGTGTGGGAACAGTGAGTGAACGACACCTCCCCACACAAATTTGGCTCCATTGCCAGGCATAGCTGGAATCTTGTAGCCTGCATGCCAGTATCTCATGGATTCTAGTCCAATCATGTGCCTCCTCACAGCATGCCCATACTTCACATGGATGTGGCATCAAAGACGCCTGGGCAACATCCTGTCCTGCCAAAGTCACCCTTCCCCACTGGGATGAGCAGAAAGGGCGGCCATCATGCAGGCTCCACACCAGCTGAGGATAGAAGCGGTCTAGACCTTGCCTTTCCCACACAGGCTCTTGGGGGACACCCATTGTTACTCTCCACTTATAAACATGAGAGCATTGAGTGCCTCAGCTCCTGAGCTCCTCATAGAATTCCATATTTCCAGACTTGGCCACATCTCCCATAGCCTGTGTTCCATTCCATCAAAGTGACGATGCCCACAGCTCCCGTCACAGGCCACAGTCCCACCCTCCACATCTGGATTGGCATGCACACTTTGAGCTCTATTTCATCAAGGGGCGAGTTTTAGGCTGGCACATACTCATCACTGACAACACAGTTCAGAGACTATCTGGCGACGCAGGTTGTAGCTGCCACTACATTTTTCTGGTTCAGTGACAGATTAATGCTGTTCACCACCACAGCTTAGAGGCTTTCCAGGATGCCACACAACGTGCACCTGGCCCCCCAGCTATGGGGCTTTGGGTCGATCATGCTCATGCATTCAAAACTTCACAAGGTTTCCTAATTTCCACCAACTATTTAAGTAAACCATTAGAAAGGTTGGCACACAAATATCTCCATGGCCCTGTGTCTGAGTCTTTGGCCCTGCTGGTGTAGCACAGTTTCATGGACATGACTAGTTGTTACAGCTCTTATATTATCCCCAAATTTGATCAGTCTTAACCCACTGGGATCTCATTGATAACATTCTGAGCATCCTCACCGTTGGACTGTAGTTTTTCTTACAGCCATGTCACCCTCTGCATCTGGGGATGCCTCTTCCAGGGTCCAGGTGCCTGTGCAACACCCAAGACTCAGCAGTGACCCAGATATGTTCTTCTGCGACGAATGTCTCCACCCACCCAGGACAGAGACCTTGCTGTCGGCAAATGGCCTTCACTTTTCAATTAGGAAGAGGGGCTAGACTGTACCCAACTTCGTCACAGCCAATTGGCAGTAAGTTGGTTTCAACAGCTCCACCACCTGGCACCTTCTAATACAGTTCCTCAGGTTGTGTTGACTACCAACCAAAAAATTATTTTACATGCGACATACTAATTGCAACTTTCCTTCTGCTATGTCTCCTAGCAGAAATTCCTTTTGCACCGGAGACTTTTGGAGGATCGCTAACCACAGGATAGGACCCACTGCCATGAAACAAGGTCTCTGTTGACTTTACAACAGCAGGCAAAGTTAGTGCCCCAGATCACATGAATTATCATACTATTTGACACGCCCTAATAGGCCAAGTTGATGCGGTCCCAATTCCAAAGAGTCCTGTGTGGGAACAGTGAGTGAACGACACCTCCCCACACAAATTTGGCTCCATTGCCAGGCATAGCTGGAATTTTGTAGCCTGCATGTCAGTATCTCATGGATTCTAGTCTATTCATTTGCCTCCTCACAGCATGCCCATACTTCACATGGATGTGGCATCAAAGACGCCTGGGCAACATCCTGTCCTGCCAAAGTCACCCTTCCCCACTGGGATGAGCAGAAAGGGCGGCCATCATGCAGGCTCCACACCAGCTGAGGATAGAAGCGGTCTAGACCTTGCCTTTCCCACACAGGCTCTTGGGGGACACCCATTGTTACTCTCCACTTATAAACATGAGAGCATTGAGTGCCTCAGCTCCTGAGCTCCTCATAGAATTCCATATTTCCAGACTTGGCCACATCTCCCATAGCCTGTGTTCCATTCCATCAAAGTGACGATGCCCACAGCTCCCGTCACAGGCCACAGTCCCACCCTCCACATCTGGATTGGCATGCACACTTTGAGCTCTATTTCATCAAGGGGCGAGTTTTAGGCTGGCACATACTCATCACTGACAACACAGTTCAGAGACTATCTGGCGACGCAGGTTGTAGCTGCCACTACATTTTTCTGGTTCAGTGACAGATTAATGCTGTTCACCACCACAGCTTAGAGGCTTTCCAGGATGCCACACAACGTGCACCTGGCCCCCCAGCTATGGGGCTTTGGGTCGATCATGCTCATGCATTCAAAACTTCACAAGGTTTCCTAATTTCCACCAACTATTTTAGTAAACCATTAGAAAGGTTGGCACACAAATATCTCCATGGCCCTGTGTCTGAGTCTTTGGCCCTGCTGGTGTAGCACAGTTTCATGGACATGACTAGTTGTTACAGCTCTTATATTATCCCCAAATTTGATCAGTCTTAACCCACTGGGATCTCATTGATAACATTCTGAGCATCCTCACCGTTGGACTGTAGTTTTTCTTACAACCATGTCACCCTCTGCATCTGGGGATGCCTCTTCCAGGGTCCAGGTGCCTGTGCAACACCCAAGACTCAGCAGTGACCCAGATATGTTCTTCTGCGACGAATGTCTCCACCCACCCAGGACAGAGACCTTGCTGTCGGCAAATGGCCTTCACTTTTCAATTAGGAAGAGGGGCTAGACTGTACCCAACTTCGTCACAGCCAATTGGCAGTAAGTTGGTTTCAACAGCTCCACCACCTGGCACCTTCTAATACAGTTCCTCAGGTTGTGTTGACTACCAACCAAAAAATTATTTTACATGCGACATACTAATTGCAACTTTCCTTCTGCTATGTCTCCTAGCAGAAATTCCTTTTGCACCGGAGACTTTTGGAGGATCGCTAACCACAGGATAGGACCAACTGCCATGAAACAAGGTCTCTGTTGACTTTACAACAGCAGGCAAAGTTAGTGTCCCAGATCACATGAATTATCATACTATTTGACACGCCCTAATAGGCCAAGTTGATGCGGTCCCAATTCCAAAGAGTCCTGTGTGGGAACAGTGAGTGAACGACACCTCCCCACACAAATTTGGCTCCATTGCCAGGCATAGCTGGAATTTTGTAGCCTGCATGTCAGTATCTCATGGATTCTAGTCTATTCATTTGCCTCCTCACAGCATGCCCATACTTCACATGGATGTGGCATCAAAGACGCCTGGGCAACATCCTGTCCTGCCAAAGTCACCCTTACCCAGTGGGATGAGCAGAAAGGGCGGCCATCATGCAAGCTCCACACCAGCTGAGGATAGAAGCAGTCTAGACCTTGCCTTTCCCACACAGGCTCTTGGGGGACACCCATTGTTACTCTCCACTTATAACCATGAGAGCATTGTGTGCCTCAGCTCCTGAGCTCCTCATAGAATTCCATATTTCCAGACTTGGCCACATCTCCCATAGCCTGTGTTCCATTCCATCAAAGTGACGATGCCCACAGCTACCGTCACAGGCCACAGTCCCACTCTCCACATCTGGATTGACATGCACACTTTGAGCTCTATTTCATCAAGGGGCGAGTTTTAGGCTAGCACATACTCATCACTGACAACACAGTTCAGAGACTATCTGGCGACGCAGGTTGTAGCTGCCACTACATTTTTCTGGTTCAGTGACAGATTAATGCTGTTCACCACCACAGCTTAGAGGCTTTCCAGGATGCCACACAAGGTGTCCCTGGGCCCCCAGCTATGGGGCTTTGAGTCCATCATGCTCATACATTCAAAACTTCACAAGGTTTCCTAATTTCCACCAACTATTTATGAAAATCATTAGAAAGGGTGGCACACATATATCTCCATGGCCCTGTTTCCGAGTCTTTGGCCGTGCTGGTGTTGCACAGTTTCATGGACATAACTAGTTGTTACAGCTCTATATTATCCCCAAATTTGATCAATCTGAACCAACTTAGATCTCATTGATAACATACTGACCATCCTCAAAGATGGACTGTAATTTTTCTTTGAACCATATCACCCTCGGCATCTGGGGATGCCTCTTCCAGGGTCCAGGTGCCTGTGCAACACCAGAGACTCAGCAGTGACCCAGATATGTTCATCTGACACGAATGTCTACATCCAGCCAGGACAGAGACCTTGCTGTTGGCAAATTGCCTTCACTTTTCAATTAGGAAGAGCAGCCAGACTGTACCCACATTCATCACAGCCAAGAGGCAGTGAGTGGGCTTCAACAGCTCCACCATTGGCAACCTCTAAAACAGTTCCTCAGGTTGTGTTGACTACCAACCAAAAAATTATTTTACTTGTGACATCCTAATTGTAATTTTGCTTGGGTTATGCCTCCTAGCAAAAATTTCTTTTGCGCTGGTGGACTTTTGGAGGGTCGCTAACCACAAGATAGGAAAAACTGCCAGGACACAAGGTCTCTGTTGACTTTACAACAGCAGGCAAAGTTAGTGTCCCAGATCACATGAATCATCATACTATTTAACACGCCCTAATAGGCCAAGTTGAAGTGGACCCCATTCCAAAGTGTCCTGTGTGGGAACAGTGAGTGAACGACACCTCCCCACACAAATTTGGCTCCATTGCCAGGCATAGCTGGAATCTTGTAGCCTGCATGCCAGTATCTCATGGATTCTAGTCCATTCATTTGCCTCCTCACAGCATGCCCCTACTTCACATGGATGTGGCATCAAAGACGCCTGGGCAACATCCTGTCCTGCCAAAGTCACCCTTCCCCACTGGGATGAGCAGAAAGGGCGGCCATCATGCAGGCTCCACACCAGCTGAGGATAGAAGCGGTCTAGACCTTGCCTTTCCCACACAGGCTCTTGGGGGACACCCATTGTTACTCTCCACTTATAAACATGAGAGCATTGTGTGCCTCAACTCCTGAGCTCCTCATAGAATTCCATAGTTCCAGGCTTGGGCACATCTCCCATAGCCTGTGTTCCATTCCAGCAAAGTGTTGATGCCCACAGTTCCCGTCACATGCCACGGTCTACTCTCCACATCTGGATTGACATTCACACTTTGAGCTCTATTTCAGCAAGGGGCGAGTTTTAGGCTGGCACATACTCATCACTGACAACACAGTGCAGAGACTATCTGGGGACGAAGGTTGTAGCTGCCACTATATTTTTCTGGTTCAGTGACAGATTAATGCTGTTCACCACCACAGCTTAGAGGCTTTCCAGGATGCCACACAAGGTGCACCATGCCCCCAGCTATGGGGCTTTTGGTCCATCATGCTCATGCATTCAAAACTTCTTAAGGTTTCCTAATATCCACCAACTATTTAAGAAAACAATTAGAAAGGGTGGCAGAAATATATCCCCATAGCCCTGTCTCCGAGTCTTTGGCCCTGCTGGTGTTGCACAATTTCATGGACATGACTAGTTGTTACAGCTCTATATTATCCCCAAATTTGATCAATCTGAACCCACTGGGATCTCATTGATAACATTTTGAGCATCCTCAAAGTTGGACTGTAGTTTTTCTTTCAACCATGCACCCTCTGCATCTGGGCATGCCTCTTCCAGGGTCCAGGTGCCTGTGTAACACCCAAGACTCAGCAGTGACCCAGATATGTTCTTCTGCCACGAATGTCTCCACCCACCCAGGACAGAGACCTTGCTGTCGGCAATTGGCCTTCACTTTTCAATTAGGAAGAGCGGCCAGACTGTACCCAACTTCGTCACAGCCAATTGGCAGTAAGTTGGTTTCAACAGCTCCACCACCTGGCACCTTCTAATACAGTTCCTCAGGTTGTGTTGACTACCAACCAAAAATTATTTCACTGGCGACATACTAATTGCAATTTTCCTTCTGCTATGTCTCCTAGCAGAAATTTCTTTTGCGCCAGTAGACTTTTGGTGGATCGCTAACCATAGAATAGGAACCACTGCCATGAAACAAGGTCTCTGTTGACTTTATTACAGCGGGCAAAAGTAGTGCCCCAGATATCATGAATTATCATACTATTTGGCATGCCCTATTAGGCTAAGTTGTTGCAGTCCCCATTCCAAAGTGTCTTGTGTGGGAACAGTGAGTGGATGACACCTCCCCACCCATATTTCACTACATTGCAAGGCTTAGCTGGAATCTTGTAGCCTGCATGCCAGTATTTCATGGATTCTGGTCTATCCATTTGCCTCCTCACATCAAGCCCATACTTCACATGGATGTGGCATCAAAAAGGTCTGGGAAACATCCTGTCCTGCCAAAGTCACCCTTCCCTACTGGGATGAGCAGGGCGGGCATCATGCAGGCTCCACACCAGCTGAGGCTTGAAGCGGTCTATACCTTGCCTTTCCCACATAGGCTCTTGGGGGACACCCATTGTTATTCTCCACTTATAAACATGAGAGCATTGAGTGCCTCAGCTCCTGAGCTCCTCATAGAATTCCATATTTCCAGACTTGGCCACATCTGCCATTGCCTGTGTTACATTCCAGCAAAGTGAAGATGCCCACAGTTCCAGTCACAGGCCACGGTCCCACTCTCCACATCTGGATTGACATGCACATTTGAGCTCTCATTCTGCAAGGGGCGAGATTTAGGCTGGCACATACTCCTTATTTATGTCACAGTCCAGAGACTCTCTGGTGACGCAGGTTGTAGCTGCCACTACATTTTTCTGGTTCAGTGACAGATTAATGCTGTTCACCACCACAGCTTAGAGGCATTCCAGGATGACCCACAAGGTGTACCTGGCCCCCAGCTATGGGGCTTTGGGTCCATCATGCTCATGCATTCAAAACTTCACAAGGTTTCCTAATTTCTACCAACTATTTAAGAAAACCATTAGAAAGGTTGGCACACAAATATCTCCATGGCCCTGTCTCCGAGTCTTTGGCCCTGCTGGTGTTTCACAGTTTCATGGACATGACTAGTTGTTATAGCTCTATATTATCCCCAAAATTGTTCAATCTGAACCAACTTAGATCTCATTGATAACATACTGACCATCCTCAAAGATGGACTGTAGTTTTTCTTTCAACCATGTCACCCACGGCATCTGGGGATGCCTCTTCCAGTGTCTAGTTGCCTGTGCAACACCCAAGATTCAGCGGTGACCCAGATATGTTCTTCTGCCACGAATGTATCCACCCACCCAGCACAAAGACCTTGCTGTAGGCAAATGGCCTTCACTTTTCAATTAGGAAGAGTGGCCAGACTGTACCCAGCTCCCTCACAGCCAATAGGCAGTGAGTGGGTTTCAACAGCTCCACCACCTGGCAACCTCTAATACAGTTCCTCATGTTTTGTTGACTACCAACCTAAAAATTATTTTACTTGCGGCATCCTAATAGTAATTGTGCTTCTGCTATGACTTTTAGCAGAAATTTCTTTTGTGCCAGTGGACTTTTGGATGGTCGCTAACCACAGGATAAGAACCACTGCCAGGAGACAAGGTCTCTGTGGACTTTACAACAGCAGGCAAAGTTAGTGCCCCAGATTACAAGAATTATCATACTATTTGACATGCTCTCATAGGCCAAGTTGATGCGGTCCCCATTCCAAAGAGTCCTGTGTGGGAACAGTGAGTGAACGACACCTCCATATCCAAAATTCACTACTTGCTCGGCGTAGCTGGAATCTTGTAGTCTGCATGACAGTATTTCATGGATCCTTGTCCATTCACTTCCTGCTCACAGCATGCACATAGTTCACATAGATGTGTTCTCAAAATTCCTTGGCAACATCCTATCCTGGTGACAGGCTAACTTGCCACAGTCATCCTTCCCTACTGGGATGAGCAGAAAGGGCGGGCATCATGCAGGGTCCTCACCAGCTGAGCCTTGAAGCGGTCTAGACCTTGATTTCTCACACAGACTCTTGGGAGATACCCGATGTTTCTCTCCAGGATCAAGACAAGAGAGCAGTGAGTGCCCCAATCCTGATCTTCTCATACAATTCCATAGTCCCAGGCCAAGGCAGATTTCCCACAGCCTGTGATCCATTCCAGCAAAATGAGGATGCCCACAGCTCCCGTCACAGGCCCCGGACCCACACTCTACATCTGGATAGATATGCACACTTTGAGCTCTAGTCCAGCAAGGGGCAAATTCGAGGCTGTGGGGACACAGGTTCTACGTGAATGTACATTGGGCTGGGAACAAGTGAGAATAATGCTGGCCACCAACCACCACAGCTCAGAGGCCTGTTTGCAATGTGCACCAGGCCGCCCAGCTATGAGGCTTGGGGCCCATTGTGCTCATGCATTCAACCCTTCCCAACCTTATCTAATTTCCACCAACTATTTACGCAACCCATTAGAGAGGGTGGAGTACATATATCCCCATGACCCTGTCCCCCATTCTTAGGCCCTGCTGGTGTCACACAGTTTCATGAACCTAGCCACTTTGTTTTAGTTCTATATCCACATTATCCCCAAATCTGATCAATCTGAACCAACTGGGATCCTATTGCTCACAATCAGACCATCCTTGGAAATAGGCTATAGCTTTCTTTTCACCGAAGTCACCCAATGCATCTGGGGAAGACTCTTCCAGGATTCTGGAGCCTGTGCAACACGCAAGACTCAGCGGTAACCCAGATATGTTCATCCCCCACCGATGTCCCCACCCACCCAGGACAGAGACCTTGCTGTGGGCAAATGGCCTTCACGTTTCAATTCAGAAGAGTGGCCAGACTCTCACCCAACTTCCTCACAGCCAAAAGGCAGTGAGTGGGTTTCAACAGCTCCAGCACCTGGCACCGTGTAATACAGTTCCTCATGTTGCGTTGACCAGCAACCATAACATTATTTCACTTGCAATGTCCTAACTGTAATTTTGTTCCTGCTGTGGCTGGCATATACCTGTACCTTACTTCATAATGCATAGACTTCCTGAACTGGCATTTCTCCATCATTTCATGGCCTAACCAGTGGCCCAGATTGTGTTCATCCCATTATCCCATTTCTCTTTCCAGAATGGTTATTGGCAGCCCTTTCCCCTGTATTTTGGCGTGCCCACAAGCTCCAGTATTTCCAGAATTTGATATTGTATTGTAGCCTTCACCCCTTTGTCTCTATTAGCCTGTCTCTATTTGCAGATTTTGACATGGTGCCCACCCTATGTTTTTGGTGTTTCAGGAAAACTGTGCAATGCAGTATCACATCCTGATTGGTGTCTATGTCTCACATGGCTTCTATTTTTCTCTTTCCATTCTGAGCTGCATTCATGCAGTATCCTCAGCATAACTGCTTCAAAATTTTCACTCCATCTTCATCTCCCCTCACTCTCTCCAAACTCCTCTTTCTGTTTGTGTTCGTGCAGCATATACAACAGCTCTGCATGCTGTGTGACAGAGGTTCTTAATTGCTCATGTCATCCCCATACTGCCTTGCCTAGCTGTGGCTTTTGTGACTTGGTTGGTAGTTTGTCCTGTTGGTTTTTAGGGATTGCCCCTCATCTTCTTTACCCCCTGTCTTTTCTATACTCTGAGCTGATATCATTCTCCCAAGCCTAGGTTTGGTCTTAGAGTCTGCGTATAAACCCATCCCAATAAAGTACCTAGACACCCCTACACACACCTGCACTGTTTCCACATTCCCAAGAGTTTTAAAATGTCTTTGGGAAGCATGATATGGAGGTTTAGGCAAGTAATGGCTTCCGAGAGAGGGAAAATCAGAAAGAATATCAAAGTAGGGGTGCCTGAGAACTCCTCTATAAAAATGGGTTGTCTAGAGTACCAATAAGAACAAGGTGCCACCATTGTAGAAAGAAGTATCATAAGTACTATTAGCCTTACCTTAGTGTATAAGTTAATGAGGACTTAAGAGATGTGGTGACTGCTTGATCATACCTAAGTGGTGATAGCAAAACTGAAATTAAAACCCACTCTTTTCTTCTAATTGAGCTCTTTCTCTCCACCACAAGGTATGCTACACCATCCTCCATCACTACTATAAGAATATACTTAGCCTCAACATATTTTTAAAACTCATGTAACAGATAGAATCAGTAATATATTAAGTTTCATAATTCATTCATTCTTCATTTCAAGAAATGCATAATGAAAATGTGCTGTGTCATACACCTTAAACTAGATGTGGAGCTATTTTAGGCATTCAAGAAAAATCACTAATAATCAATTCTTTCCTTTTTTATTTTCTCTCTCTCTTTCTCTTTCTCTTTCTCTTTCTCTCTCTCTCTCTCTCTCTCTCTCTCTCTCTCTGTGTGTGTGTGTGTGTGTGTGTGTGTTTGTATTGGGGGATGGTACTGAGAGGGCCTTGTGAATACCAAGTGTTCTAGCACAGAATTATATATCCTCAGCCCTAAATAATTCTTCTTAAATACATATTTAGACATAAAACCTAGATTTTTCTAATTACAAAAGCATTTCATTTTTCTTATTGATTTGTGGGAGGAGACATGTGTGGGGGTTAGAGGACATAATGTGGCAGTTGGTTCTTTCCTTCTACCATATGGGTCCTAAGGATGGAACTCAGGTCATCGGGCTTAGTATCAAGCACTGTTACCCACCTGAGCCATCTGTCAGTCCCAACCTGGGTTTTTCTAAAAGACCCAGAATTATTCATTTGAAAGGGGTTTCAAGAAACCATATTTTCGATTTCCTCTCCCTCAGACAGAGTTGTGCCCAACTTGAATGATCAAAATAGACCTAATAAGAACAGAGCATCCAAGCGCCGATCCTATGTATATGTCTATATTTGAAGGGGGACAAAAAGACACACTTTTAATTAACCCAGTAACTTCAAAAGATAGGTCTTATTATCTCTACAATCAAGGAAATTAAGCTATAAGAAAATTAAGTATATTATCCATGGTCACAATAAGTATCTGAGCTGAGCTAATATTTGAAACTCACGTACTTTGTTGTCAACATTTACATTCTTTCTAAATTAAATTTTCACTTAGCATATAAAGTAATGGGCTTCATTATGGCGTTTTTGCTATGTAGCATTATGCTTTGTTCTTATTCCCCTTCCCGTCTACTCTACCCACTCTGGCTGGCTCTCTTCCTTTCCCCACATGGTTTGCCTATTCTGATTTTTAATCACACGTATTCCATTACGCTCTCTTCCAAACCCCCTTAAGATAGCTTCACTCAGTGGCTTCTACATTCTTTTATGAGTATTAGTCATATTCCTAAGATGTCTTTACATAAAATGAACAACAAAGGGGTATGTTAAGAGGAAGGAAAGAAAGTAGAACACCAGATAAGTATTCTGTAGTTCCCTTTAATCTCATGGAACTTGAATTTATCACATCCTGTGAAGCAAGGAGTTCAAGTTTTCAGAAGGAAGAGGTTAAATATACACTCTCATTAGATTATTTTAAAAGATAATAGAATTGAAAATATTCTGGGGGAGCTACTTGAAGTAGTTTAATTTTTTGTTTCTTAATTCCATCTCAGCTAGACAGAAAATGGAAAAACTGTAGGGGTTTATGTTCCAAAACTCTTACTCATCCTAGCTCCACCCCCTCCCACTGCCACCCCCATAATACAACAGTCCAAGAAATAATGCAATGTACCTTTTGGGAAAAGTGACTTTATAGTTGTTTTGGATCCTAAGAACATACCATTTTCTTGCCTGATGATTTCTCACCTTAACTTCCAAGCAAAGTGTTTCCTAATGCAATACTTCTGCTAGGGAAAGCTACTTCCCAGTTCTGCCCAGTCTCCAGTGGATAGTAATACTGGAAACCTCAGCATTTCTTCCAACAAACTGGACAGAGGCGGGCTACCTGGCCAATTGTTTCTGCGATGAGGTTTCTGGGAAAGATGTTATTCTTCAAGAACATATCTTTCAAACCTGCCCTCTGTTACAGGGGTAAGGGTGAGTGTTGGAGGAACAGATGGAAGATGGTGGACAGTATGAACACAGGGTATATGGCTGTTCCAAGAAGAGAGGAATGAAGAACAGGCTCTGTAACTCTTTTGTCTTGCTCCCAAGTAATATCTTGAAATAATTGCAGAGAGAATCTGACTCATTAGATATGCTGTATGAGAGATGTCATAACAGAACTTAGACATCCATCTCAAAAGATTCAGGTGTTTATCTTGCCTTGCCTCTCAGGCAGAGAACACTAGAAGAGAATGGGCCTGTCATATGTACAGTGCTAGTCTTTTGGTAAAACCATGTGTAGGGCTTTGTTAACCCTTACTCATTCCTCCATAGCCAAGAAGTTCTTCACCCTGGTCAAATCCCTAGTTTCCTTGGATGCCAGCAAAGACCAGTTCCCTTCAGCTGATCTGCCCGGCTGAACTTTCATTAGGATTTCAGTAATTCTCAATCATGCTATAGTAATTCCTTCTGACTCACCCTCCTGAGGAGCTATCCGATTAGATGAGCCTCTGGTGAAAGCCTGGGAGTGGCTAACTCCAACATACTCATCCTTACTAACCCTGTAAGTAATCTACCTACACCCTGGAGCTAATGTTCCCATTCATTTGGCATTATCTGGCACAGCTACCTTTTCATTTTCAGAGAGGAAACGAATAACAGTAAACTGCTTCATGGTTTTGAACATGTTCAGAAGGGAAGAAACCCAAGGCTCATAGCAGAGAGGTATAGAGAAACTGGAGTCAGAAGATTTTAGTCAAAGTAATTATGGCAAAACCAGAATGCATCTGAAGGTTCAAATTAAGGAATGAGGTGTGGCAAGTAGGAAAAAATATCAAAGACCTAAAAAAAGGTTCCATCAATTGTTTGCTTGTCAGACAGCCTGAGAAATGGCTTTGCATTTGGGAGATTTTTTGGCCTTAAACATTTCTACACAATTCCAAAATCTTGTTCTATATATCAGGCCTCACATGTGGTTTAAAGAGTGAAAAGATTGGACCAGGAAGCTTCACTTTGCAACACCAAAGAATGTGAAGACTAAGGCCAAGGTCTTTCATTCTGAGTTCAAGATGAAACATGAAGCATTCAAGATACAAATATAAAGTTAGATTGCATGAACAAAAGCATAATGTTCATTAGTGAGCCAGTATTTATATTCTATTCTAAGCTGTTAAGACAATGCGTATGCTGGGCATGGGAGTATCTCCTGTAATCCCAGCATTGGCAAAATCTGAGGGGTAAAGGCAGAAATAACAGGAGTATAGTCAGCATTGGTTACTCAGGGAATTAGAGGCCTGCCTAATGCATATAAGGTCTGTCTCAAAAGAAAATAAGAGAGAAGAAGGGAGGGCGGGGAGAGAGAAAGACAATACTTGATATCAATGGTCTACTGCTAGATACCATACTTCACAAACAACAAACCAATTCAAAATGGAATCCCACACTAAAAAGCCAAAATAACAGGTACACAGAGTTACAGACAAGTCTACCTGTGAGAACTAGGAAACACAATACCTGAATACAGCCGATCTTGTTTGATTTTGGAAGCTAAGCAGGATGGGCCTGGTCAGTACTTGGATGAGAGAAACTGTCATGGCCAGAACCAACAATGTCAATTAGCTTATGTCCTGTCCTTTAATTCAGTCTCAGCTAGACATAAAATGGAAGAAAGTAAAAATGAAGATGAGGCAGAAAAAGATAGGTACCTTAGAGGAAAAGCAGTATCAAGTCAACATTAAGTGGCTTTCCATTGCAAGAAAAAGAAGCAGTACTTTTCCCTCTGTCTTCATGGGCTCACAACAGACATAAACCATACTAATTCATAAAAGTTGCATATTCAAAAGCCCTTGGCTCTACTAATCCTAGTCAGTCTCTTTCTTGATGTTCTACAGAACTTAACATGGAGGAGTCTACACACAGATAACGCCAAGTTAGTCAAGAAGTTTTATGTGGGTAACTTTACATGCTTGTTTTTCCTATAAAAGATTACTTTACTAGTCTCTATTAATGAGTCAGGAGCAAACCTTACTACTCAGCCCCTAAATGAAGCTAAACTCTTCTCCAAGCTGCATTCTCAGCTGTATTCTCTATTTCTTCACCATTATAATTTCCCTAAATTTATTTCTCATGTGTTATGTAAAACCTCCCAGAATTTAGTTTTAAAAATTTAATTGTACCTTTAAGAACTTCAGTGAAAAACTTTTATGTTTGTCATTCTGACCACAGGGCCTCCTCTTTTGAGACTTCTCTTACATGCTGGATTGTATGATACAATCCATCTATGGCATGTCTCACTACCGGTTATCCCTTTTCTTTTCTTACATTTTTGTTTATTTCAGAACCAATACATTATTTCTAAGGCACAGTAACAAAGCACTTAAGCTATTCCTGCCTATACTAGATACTCCAAAAATATCTGTGTCATTTACTTGCCACTTGGTAGATGTTACCTTCTGTCTTTCTTTGTCTTCCTAACATCTTAGTTAATGCTGACTGTTTAATAGGTGAGAGACACAGAAGGGCATAAACATGTGTTTTCCAGAGGACTGCTCATTTCAAATACCCACCTAAATTTTCAGATGATATGTTCTAATTTTTGGTTAGAAAATACGGTCACCGTAAGTGTAAGGCATCCATGAAATATACACAGTACATAATTAGATTAGTGCAATTCAGTTTGAGAGACAAAATGTCCTTAAAGGTCTAGAGGCATTCAAAGAAGATACACAGGAGAGAACCAATACAACGAGTTAGACTTTAACACACTAGGTTGAGGTGGGCCTTGAGAGATGGGTCATATCTGGATACAGTGGGGATTAGATTTGGGTGAGAGTCATCATCTAAGCAAATTAAAGGACCATTTGTATGACTCTAAAATATTGCTCAGCTGTATCCCACAACATTGGTCATTTCCTTGACACCAGTACTAGATTCTGAGATCAATTATCAAAAGTCTTTGCCCAATCTTTTGATATCCCTTGATCTAGCCATCTCATTCCCTGACTTCATCTGAGTGGGCTCCAAGGATAGTCCATCTTTGCTAGTCAATTAGAAGTCAAGCAAATTCATTTTACTGTATACATGCAAAGAATCCCAATCAGTGACTTGATATGATCATAACACTCAAGGCCAAAACTCATTCAACATTTTACTTTCATACCTAATCGATGTAAAGTAGTTACATAGATATAACCCACACCATGCTGATATAAACCAATAGGTAGATCATTTCAAACCACTAAATGAAAATGAATAAATACAAATAGGAATTGAGTACATAAATTAAGCAACTACATTATGTGAATATCAAGTTCCATTAGCAGATAACTGAACAGGAAAAGGCAAGAAACTTTCATGACAGAGTAAGATTGATAAAAATAATTAAGTTTTTGGCATGACTTGGGAAAGCCCAAAAGAATTAGAATATCAAAAACTGGTTGGAAGTGAGCTAGGAGAAAGGCAATGAAGCTTTGCCTAAAGCTCTGTAAAGCAATAAGAAAGTTTAGACAGGGCCTTAGCTCACCTGACAAGTATAATTGCCTTTACTCCTAATTATTGTTTTTTCTAATGCCTCTTAAAATAAGCATGTCCAATACCTTGCTGTATCACCAAATTACTGGGAAAATTGCAGAAATCCTTGGGAGCTATGAAAATCAAGTAGTACTACTATTATCAGAATTATTAACATCTAGATAAATTAACAGATAAATAAATAGAATTGATTACAAAAAAGTTCATGATCCACAGATGTCCTAGGAATGGCAGTTAGCTTCTTGAAGGCTTCCTATGTATTTCAGGTAATTTATTTTAACAGATAAATAAGTAGAATTGATTACAAAAAAGTTCATGATCCACAGATGTCCTAGGAATGGCAGTTAGCTTCTTGAAGGCTTCCTATGTATTTCAGGTATCTTGCTAGCTGCATATATGTTACAGGCATTGTGAACAATTTCTAGGAATGACTTACCAACATTATACACATTGCCTAGGAATTGTTTACAATTCCTGATTTAACATTCTGCTGCAAAAAATTACATGTTAATTTTATCATACAATGGCTTCAAAGCAGAAGGTAGCATTTCTGTAGGCATATCACGTAATGGGAAGATTCACTTTGATATAGAAAAACAGACAATGACTTAATAGCTGTGGTGTTCACTTCAAAGATTCACATACAGAAGACTAAGGATGAACTGGGTGAAAAAAACTAATGCAAAGAAAAATTTCTTTCATGATTTTAAAGTGAATTAATTGTATGGCAGTAATATATCCAAATATATAATACATAAATATTTCAATAATTGAATTAAAATTTGGATCTACAATTCTTTCTTTTTACTGTTTTGTATAAATGAGCTACTGGCAATGTATATTTTTAATAGACCAAGGTTTGTACACTCAGATATGTACTGAACTGTCTGAAGCAGCCCCTTGCGAATATGTTCTTATGTTGCCATTTTTCAGAATATTTTTGAAAAGCTGCTTTGAGAGCTGCCTTCTGAGCCAGTTTATGAGTGAGACAATAACAAAATTACATGGTTTTCTTCTCACAGTTCAAAATTTAGTCATTCAGCATAGTAAGTATACAATTTGTATCAACCAGATTAATCTTAGAAATCAAAATGCAGCCACATTGTTACTAAAGCCCTGTCCCAGGCCATCCTCAGAACCTTTTTCTCAGGCTGGATGCAAGACAGTTCCTCACTCTCCACCCAAGCACCCTAAAAGACATGTCCAGTTGAAAAGGGCTGACTAAAATTGGTTCCAAAAGTCTAGTTTAAGTTTTTCCAGTGAATTTGCATGGTATGCCATATTTGGCGAGACTAGGAAGCTAGATTCTAAACTTCATAACAGCAGTTCCCTGCCTTATTTCTAGCACCTACAACCATGTTTTGGATGTTATCATTGCTCAGTAAATACCTGTTGAATGACAGGTGGATGGATGTTGGGAGAGGTGTTGATGAATAAATAGATGGATGAACTTCCTTAAAGAGTTATTATGGATCCATCTTGGGGTGTAGCTTAGTGATAGAGCACTTGCCTAGCATTTACATGTCCCTGGGATCATATCCCCAACACAAAGTAAAATAAAATAGCTATCATGGCACAGCAAGTATTAATGAAAGAGTGAAATACAAATAATAGCTGTATAGAAAGTTTTCCTTCCAGCAGTAAGACCAGGATGTCATTGTTTGCCAGGAGCTAACAAAGATTATGGTGATGGCTGTAACATACATCTGGATTGTGAGCTGGGTAGCTTAGAGTCATTAAAAGAAGTTAGTGCCTTGCCTCTTTTGAGCCAGTTGCTCATGTATATTCCATTCAAAGACTAGGCCTCTGATACAGGTCAGCTTGTCTGCAAACAAGTGCCACAGGGTTTCATTTTCAAGGCTAAGTAGTGAAACACAATTATCTAAAGTGGTTGGAGCTAGGTTACATAGCAAACTAATGAAGGATGGAAGGGCTTTGGTCTGAGATAAGGAAAATAAACTACAAGAGCTCTGCCCTGCTCTCTTTCTCTTCTTTTTAAGCTAGAAGTCTGTCAGTATTCTTCCTTGGTATGCTTACCTTCTCCATAGACTAAAGAACAAAGCTGAGGCCCTCTTCAGCTCCCCAAGTAATTTGGGGAGCTGTCCTAGAGAGAGCAGCAGCAGTAGTGTTAATAGTATAAAAGTAGCAGCTAAACTAAATATTCAGGCTCTGTTGGTGATAGTGTTAATAACAGTGCTGTACTGGCTGGGTGCTTAATCCATGTTATACACTATATATGTAATATATTTTTAGTCCTCTTGACAAAAGTAATAAGTCAGCAATGTTGCCATTAGCTTTGTAGCTAAACAAAGCAAGACTACGATAGGTTAACACACCAAGCTAGTCAGGGGTCAAAGCCTTTGCCTGCTTGACTCGGGTGCCAGAGAGTGAATCACAATAGCTTGCTGCTTCTCGGCATTATGTTCTGCCCTCTGACACATCCTCTCATGGCCAACAATAAACATGCAAAAGAAAGCTAAACATACACCCTAGTTCAAGCCTAAAATGATCTGGTCCTGCTTTATTGTAGTTGATAATAGTAGCTGCAAAGCAACCCAATCCTAGAGCCTGGACATCTGTTTTAAGACCTTGAGTGAGTATGTTTTTCTGGAATATCCCTTCAGAAATGTTTTTTGAACATTTGTTCAAACAAGCTGAGGTCTGGACACCCTCTGATGCCTTTCTCGATTGGTTATGCGCCAAGTATGACATGATCCTCTGCATGTGGTTTGAGTTAGGTGGAAGTGTTGCACATGCCTGGGATACTGGGCAAGCCCACTAGAGCTGCCCCTGGATGCAGACAAGGCTGACTTCAGCAGGCCCAGTGAAGAGATGGTAGATCTGTGGTGGCTGGGATGGGATCACCAGTTGGATGGGTCACTCCCAACCCCCATTGAGCTAGGCCATTTGTATTCCAACAGTTCTTTTCCCTTTTGCCTGGATATTTAATTGTGTTTGGGACAAGTTCCAAAATACCCAGTGGTCTTCTCAAGCCGTATGACTCGAGAGAGTTTCAGAGCGCAGAGTCTGAAGGACTTGTTGCTACAGTCTGGCTTTCTTGCTGCAAACCACAGGAGCTCTACCTGCTGTGCCATGAGGTCATTAGGGAATTGATCAATGTCTTTGGAAAGTGCCTTCTCATGCACATAACTGGATGGGACTATAATCCCAGACAGTTTTACAGCTTTGGCAGAATGGAGGTATACACTGAGGACAGATTGAATGTCACCTCTTGGCCTGGGTTTGTGGAAGATGGCTGAAGAGCCCATCAGCAAAGCTGCCACGTGGCCAAGTCCATGTGAGTGATGGAAACATGGCTATGGGAAGAGGCCAAGGCCAGTAATGAGGGAGGAGACACTCAAACCTATGGGGAAATCCCTGAATCCCCAACATCTGTGGGAAAGATCAGATGAGGCTTCGGGGTAAAAAGCAACAAGAACACATTCAGCAGTTCTAAGCGTACACAGAAGGAAATGAAAAATACCAACCTGTTGTGGTCAGGGAGAACTACAAGTGTCAGGCTGGCTTGAACATCAAGTTTAGAGGAAAAGCATACAGTGAAAGTGTTTCAAGATAAAATATAATTCTTAACTAGGAGCAAGTATTTCCTTATGCCACTATGGACTTCTGAAATTGCCTCAAAATATTCTTGAGAAAATAATCCCTTCTTCCCTTTCTTCAATGCAAAATGTGTATGTAGCACTGTAGATCACCTCTCCATATACTTAGCCTAACAACTAGAAGGAAAAATGCTAACAGTTATGTGTGTGTTTGTATTTTGATTGAATGGGGTGGATAAGGTTTAGAGAAAATGAACCAGGTAAGAATTACTCACACATATGAGATGAGAAAATGAAATATGAAAGAGGTTGCCTTTTGTGAGATGAAATCGTGAAGCAATAGTACCACAACTTAGCAAATGACTAGATTTACCAAGGTAATGAAAAAATGTAAATGCCATATTTATCATTTTTAGTGATTGGTAAGATGAAAGTAGCACCAGTAACAAGAACAGTGAATTAGGGAAAAGAACAGGTCTTGGGGAGAAGAGAAATACAGTTCGGGTGTCAGACTGAGAACTAGAACAAGCATTTTAAAATTCTTCTCTGACCCAAGAGAGAGGTGAGAGCTGGAGACAGACATCCAGGCAGGCATAGCTTACATGTTCCTTTACCTAAATCCAAAACTGCTGGTTCCCAGTCACTATCAGCAGAGGCTGTAAACAGCGTATATTTGAAACTTCTGCCTTCCTGCTTCTAACTGCTAATTTCTCCCGCTGCCCAGTTTCTTTTGCCCTCTAGCAACAGAATGTTACTGTAGGAGAACCTAACTGGTCTCTCAACTGGTATCACAATACATGTAATATCTGTCTTGAAGAATTACTATATTTCCAAACACATGTCATGTGTGAGTAATAAGTGATCCCAACAGATTATATTAATCAGTTTCTATTTCCCTGGCCATTACTTACATAGTTGGAAAACTTAATATGTATGAGAACACCCTAAGGAACATAAGGTGAGTGCTACAGAGTTGTGGTGACCATATTTTCTGAAACAAAAATTTGACACTGGTTCCTGTTGAAAAACTTGCTGAAGTATTTTCTGGTTCAATGAGGCAATTTAGGAGCTACAACTGAAACAATGAAAATTGCATGTCCCAAGATATTTCAGTTGTTCCCCAGGAACTATAGGACAAAATATTATTGTAGGAAATACACAGAGTAGAATACTAATAACATGACATACTCTGCAGTTGTGTGCTTTAAATTTCTTTCTTTTATTCTTTTCATATTTTATAACTTCCAGTCTATACTTAACAGTCTTGGCATTTGCTCCTTTTCTAGAGAAGTCAAGGGACCAAAAATACTTAAGGTCAGTGTGAAAAGACACCCCATAGATAAACTGAACTTTTTTGTTTCTAAGATAGTCTCATATATCTCAGGCTGTCCCCAAACTGACAATGTAGCTGATGGTTACCTTGAATGTCAGATTCGCTTACCTATACTACCCCAAATCTAGGATTACAGATAGGCATGCACCATAATACTTTGTGTTGCTGGGAAACTACCAACTGAGCAACATCCCCAGTCTCAAACCACTCTTGTTTTTTTTTTTTTTGAGATAGGGTCTCACTATGTATCCCTGACTGGCCTGAAATTCACTACATAGACTAGCCTCAACTCAGAGATCCACCTCTCTTTGCCTCCTGAATGCTGGAATTCAAGGTATACACACCCCACAACCATACCTGGCTTCCAAACAATTTTTTTAATATACAAAGAAACTGAGATCCAAAACTAAGAAATGGCTTGCCCAAGGTCAGACCATAAGTCAAGGGCAGATTTAGGACTAGAGTCTGGGTATCTTATCTTGGCCTTATAACATTCTTTTTCAAACACCAAGCCTCCATTTGGGGAGCAGCCTTTCTTCCCCTTAATCTTTACATCTCATCCCTGACCTCGCTTTGGACATCTCTGGAGGAATGGAGTGCACTACCAACAGGGCACAGTGCCAAAGCCAAAATAGCCATCATCTCAAGTCCCTTTGATATTCAGCAGCCCTCAGCACACCTTTCTCTTTTCTCATCTAGAGTATTCACATCTCCATTACACCAAGTATCTACCTGTCAACTGGGACATCAAGGGAAACAAGTAGAACTTGGGAACCTGCTATTCCCAGATGATTAAAGGTAAGACCTTTGCATACATGTGTGCTGGACTATCAGCACTTTCCATAACTTTCTGAACATTGTTATAAGAACCAAACATCTTGCTCAGGGAGAAAGATTCACTGCTGAGAGAAAATTCAGTGCTGATTGTATCTTATTCTTTGAGTTTGATAAACTCTTCCCTATGGAGAAGCTAAAACAACATATTATATATGTTGCAAGAAGTGAATTACTCAAACTCCACACAAGAGAGCTCTAACATAGTACTGTGTGTTGCAGAAGCCTGATCCCTGGTCCTTATTCCTTCTATTAGGCTGTCATAAATGGAATCCCATCATGTGTGACAATGCGAACCAAGCTTCTACAATGCTGTTAACCACATGAGATACTTTAAAAGGTTCTCCTCTGAGGCTAGGAGCTCCTGGGTGCCTGGAAGGACACACAAGGCCTACTATGTGGCCAACAACTGAACTGTAAAGTAATAAATAAGTAACTAAACTGAAGTAGGGGCTGTAACAGGAGATTAGACTGGAGAGGGAGGCCGGCACCAAAATGTGGAGGGTTTGACACAAAGCTTGTGGAATACATGCTTTCTGACATGGCCTATGAATATGTATCTTTGTGTTTTTCACAGAACAGAACACTCTCAATATGAGGGTAGATATCTATAGCAAGTAAAACTTTGAAAGCTATCCATTTTTCAGTCCACTGCCTGTACAAGAAGTTTTGAGTCTTTTTTCTTTTAATACTTGACGAACTCATAGTTCCCAGGCACTTACTTCAATGTGTCGCAAGCAATTTCATTGAAGCATTGCATATATCTTGGGCCTAAGACCAAGTACAAGAAATTTCACCCCATCAGAAAAATCATTGAGGCAGCTTAAGGTAATGGAAACTAGTGCTTTGGATTTAATCTGTCTCTTTCCATCGCTGTTTTTGGTGCCTAGATAATGTCTGTAAAGGAAAAAAAAACTAGAAAGCATATAGCTTGCATACTTTGGAATTAGCGAGGGAAGAAAGACCAAATGGAGAGAATAATGAGATATACTCTGTTCTACAACTCAGTTCCAAACTGCAATATAAAGAATAGTAAAAATAAAGTCTTTAAACCAATGGTGCACCACAGGTGGGAGTGCTCCATCAGCACTACCCAAGCTTAGAATCCTCTTGGGACTGCAATTTGGGAGTGTAGCCTTTCTCTATGTCTGTAACTCTCTATAGTGTATTATCAAGACAGGATTTTTCAGACCTTAACCATGATGTTAGAAATCAAATGCTAAAAGCTAAAGAGAAATGAGTCCCAGGCATATAGTGTAAGTTGTCTATCACCGTTTTGAATGCTCAATGGTGTAAAAGGGGGAATAAGAATAGCAAACACAGATGACTTTACCATTTTCATAGATCATTTGCTTCTAAGTAATGTTCCCAATATTAAGGAATAGTTAGATTAGACTCCTTGGTCTGTCATAACAAGATATCACAGACTGCGTGCTGTAAACAACACGCTCATTGTCTCACAGTTGTAGAGGCTGAAAAGTCAAACTCTGTGTCAGGATTGGTTCCTGAAGAGGCTTCTTTTCCTGGCTTGTAGATAATCATCATCTTCTCACTGTGTCCTCAAATGGCCTTTCCTCTGTATTCATGCAGAGAAAGAAGAAAGGGGGGAGAAAGAGGGAGAGGGAGAGGGAGGGGCAAAGGGAAGAAGAAGGGGAGGAATGGGGGAGAGAGAGAGCTGATGTCTCTTCTCTTCTTATAAAGATAGCAATTCTACTAAATTAAGGTCCCACTAATATGATCTCATTTAACCTTAATTACCTACCTAAAACCCCTATTTCCAAATACAGTCACATTAGAGCTAGGGTATCAAGCTATGAATTTGGAGGACACAATCCAATCCATAACAGTATTGTCAAAGAGGTTTAGTGTTTTGCACATATTGGTAAGTAACTGAGGTCAAGGTTAGACCCTGCATTCGCTCTGTTACACTATGTTGTCTTTCTGTTATACTGTGCCCCTTCTGCTTTTGTTTTCTTTCTTAGGAAGGCTATAGAGAATTGATGTAGGTTTGTCTCAGGGAATTCTGGTAAAATTCACTCATGAATCCACCTTGGTCTAATACTTTTAAGAAGTTAATTATTGAACTAATTTTCTTAGTAGATAATTCAAAGAATCAGTTCTTTTTGAGTTTTGACAGGTGGTCTTTTTTGAATTATATATTTAGTTAGGCTAGATATTAAATGGTTTGCTAGATTGTCTTTTGAGGAATGGTCCACTTAATACAGGTTATCAAATTTGTTATCATAACATTTCCTTGTTTTCCACAAGGTTTATATGGCTTTGCCTCCTCTTTAATTTCAGATTTCAGTAATTTATGACTTTTTCTTTCATATTTTTGTCTGAACTTTCTATTAAGTGTATATTAATTATATAAAGTAATAGTCATTATAACATCTACATACATGATATGAGTGAAGGGAAATATACTCTGTTGTTGAAATACAAATGCCAGCTAAGCCAAGTTGGTTGGTGGTCCTGTTCAGTTTGACTATATTTTTACAGATTTTCTGCCTTCTGAATCTCTCAAGAACTAATAGACTTAAGGAAAATCTTGAAATGTAGTATCAGAATTGTCTACTTTTGACCAAAATGGCAATCCCTGATTTTTAATGATTTACTTTATTGTTTTTAAGTATATATAATGTGTGGATATGTTCAAGTGAGTGCAAGTGCCTATGGAATCCAAAGGGATTGAATACTCCTGGTGTTGAAGTTCCAAGCAGCTGCGAGCTGCCTGATAGGTGTGCTAAGAATTGAACTTCGGTCCTCCCTCCAAGAGCAGCATATGCTCTCTCCAGCCACAGCTAACTTTTAATCGGGAGTACTTAAACCGATTGTTGTTGAAGTCACCACTGATGAAGTTGGATTAGTGTCTACATTTCTTACTATTTCTCTATTCCATTTGTTTGCTTGTTCTTGATCTCACTTTCCTTCTACTCTATTTCTACCTTTTGTTAATCATAGTATATGATTCCATTTTGTTTCCTTTCTTAGTATGTAAGCTATACATTTTCCTTTTTCGTTACTGTTAGAGATATAACCCAGGGTATTGTATTAGCTACATCCCAGCCTTACATTTAGTGTTTGGCACTGATGTTTTAGCATAAATTCCTAACTGATCAAACTCCATTTTCAATAAACACTGCACCACTTCATAAACATTACAAATATCTTATAACAATATTCCCAAATTATTCTTCTCATTCCTTATAAAACTGCTATCATTCATCTTGCCTATCTATAAGATAATCACAAAATACAAAGTTGCTATTCATCTATTAGAAGAAAATGAGAATAGCAATGAAAATCTTTTGTTTTTTAATGTATAAGGATAATAAATAAATCAAAACCGTCTACACCTCACATAAACATGTACCTATTGGTAGAAGCCAGTTAGATTCATTACCATGGCTTTGTTTTAAGCCCAAATAATCATCTCTGTCCATGTATACATTTCAAGACTTCATTCAAATTTTTGTGTGCCCTATAGAATTTGGCACGTAGTAGGTATTCAACACATGGGAAATTTCTTTAAAAGGATTTTCATAATGAGTGGGGTAAATGTTATTATGCATGTTATGGATTCCATGTGTTTGGAAAGAGCATCGTGTTTTGGAATGACCAAAAAAGGCTTCATGATGGGAGCTGAAACTGAATATTACCCTGAAGAATGGATAGGATTTACACTGAATGAGAGGAAAATTAAATGGCATTCCAAGTTTTGGGCATAGCACGAACAAAACTGCAGAAACAGTATAAGAAAACACTCTACTGTTAAAAACAGACATCACTGGGACATCTTTGTGATGAGATCTTAGAAGACATTGACAAAATATAGACCTGATTAGGTATGGTTATAGAGGGAGTACACTCAGCTTGGAAGATACTAACTAAAGTTTTTTCACATAGTACTTAGTAGCTAAGCAGTGTTTCTTTGCCAGTGCTCAGTACTAGGTCTTCATTTTAAGTCCAGGATTTTATTTGGAGCATTATATGTACTATGCAATTCAAAATATTCATTATTTGCCTATAGCACATTAAGTATGAAATTTAAACTTAGATTGATCTTGATTGTTCTTTATTAGGAGGAGAATATAGTCTGTAGCGAAATACCTACAGCAATATTCTGCCAACCTGCTTTATATTTTTTAATCCAAGTAAGTACAAACCCAAGAAGCATTCAAGATACTGTCTCTTCAAGTATAAAATAACATGAGTTAAAATAAATTTTCTTATAAGATCTCGAGTCATTCTGTCCCAGATAAAGGCAATGTGTGAGGAAATTTGCTAACTGATGTCCAAAGAACAAAAGCATCTTTTATAATATAATCTAGTAAGGTGTGGATCTTGGAAACACATTTTTCTCTATCTAACTTTGAAAGACCACATTATTTAATCAACACCATACTTTCTCAAAAAAAAAGGTTCAAAAATGGAATGACCTGTAATTGTGTCCCTGGAGGTAGATCACTACAGGACAAGACGTTATAGTTGTAATTCAACTGTAAGAAGGTAGACAGACTTGATATTCAACTATTTAAGGATCCTATGATCTAATCTAAATGTCTTAAGAGCATGCTTTACAGCCATATAGAGTAGATACACAAACAAGCATACACTTAAATACTCACTAAACAACAGGATGTTTGCTTCCCAGCAAAATTCCCCAACACATATCCTTCCTTTGAAATTTGACTTCAGCTTCCCAATGTTCTGAGGTTTTCTGAGCTGAAATGTCAGACCCTACAGGCTTCCTATTTTAAAATAAGTTATTGCTCCCTGTACCAAGGAATGTTGATCCTATAGAATCCTCTAGACAAAACTCTAGTTGTCATAGATTCTCTACTATTATAAAATAGCTATCTTGTGAGTACTCTAAAATATATGAAATGACTACAGTAAATTAAAACACCATGAATAAAATTGGGTCATGTACTTTCAAATCAAATAAAACTATCAAGGATTTCTCTGAATTGGGAAATCATTCAAGTCTTACAATATTTTTACTTAATATTCTTAGTAGTTTCCATTGGGTACTTTAAAATACTATTTACAACACAGAGCAAATACTGTGCTGTGGTGGTAAAAATGCCTTTGGTACAGCCTCTGAGAGTCTCCCCTCAAGCCAGCTTCAGGACATCCTGCCGTTTCAGAGCTACAGGGATCAAATAAAGTGCAATGTAATGGATCTTCAGCTTTAGGTAGCTGGGCAGAGACGAAGATTTGAATCAGACCTGAACTGCTTTCAAAACCAACATCTTGCTTCATCTCCCTTCCTTCCCACCCTCTGAGTTTAGGGTCAGTCACCTGGAACTGGAATGACTATCAGAAGCAAGTTTTTGCTTAGACAGCAAGATGGGATTTAGGAATAGTTTGTAAAATGGCAACAAGATTTTGTTATTTGCTTAGCATAATCTAAGTTCAACATTCCTGTTAGACTTCTTCAGAATTCTATTTTGGTTTCACTTCCTTTACTTTCTATTGAGTTACAGAAAACTCTTTCCTCATTGCTTTCTCTATCAACCTCCATCTTTCTGCCCTCCTTCTCAGATAGACCTACTAAACTCCCTTTTGTAATTATACATGAGAAATGGGAACTACTTTTTGCCTACCATACATCTACTCAGAAAAGACAAATTACAATTTGACAGCTCGAAGCTCCCCAGATAGCAAAGGGCTATAAAATAATAATTCTTTCAATTAAAAGTACTGACCCCCATAAATGTTCACCCCATGTATTTTAACTATCTTTATCCTCTTGCATGGAAACTTGGGATATGATACAATCTTTGCATCTAAAAGTTTGAAAAGCCTACTCGGGGTTAACAACCACAATTTGGCTATAAATTAAAGGCAAGTTGGAGTCACAAGCTGCAAGCCTGGGGTGAACGCCTTTGAACCAGGGAAAAATGAAAGCAGTTGTTCATAACCAGCTGCCTTTTCCAGTACCGAGCACGACTGAAAGGCTTCCAGGGCAGACTTTGAGCAGATTTCTTTGAGGAGTCCTCCAAAGCCTTCCCAAAGGGCTATTACTAAGTCTAAGACTGTGAGTTCAGTTCTCTCTGTGTCCAACTGAAATACCTCTATTGAATATCAACTTGATATTAGAAAATAGATGAGCTTGACTCTTACCAACCTTCAAAACTCCTAAGGATTCTGAATTTATGTAGCATGAAACCTATCTAGTAAGGCTTTCAAAGACAGAGGAATAAGGTCACCGGTCTAGGCATCTAAAATAGGGTCTTATTCAGTGTGTGACTGACTATTTCCAACTACTCTGTATGTTATGTTAAGAAGAAAAGAATGAGCCATGAAAGTATTTTAACACAATTTCACATAGTTATTTTACCAAGGGGTCAAAAGGTTGTCTGAAATAAGAAGGACATGGGAACAGGTTTAAGTACTAAGCCCTGAGCTGCCACTATGGGGCATTGTCAATGCACGCACTAGATACTGAATAACAACAACAAAACTTTCTGATTGAGCTAACTGTATATTTGCACTTCCTTCTACGAAGATAGGCAAATAAAGCACACGTGTATGTTCTCAAGGAATGGTTACATTCCAACAGGGTAA